CTGCAGAGCGCAAAACACAGGGTTGCTTTGATTATTGCATCAGCTGTTTATGCTTTATTTACTTTCGTTCGAGAGACTTCTCTTACCGCCGTAATAAGGAAGCAAGAATTTTGTCCCTGACTTTCTTCAATCGGCTGTCCATAGTCTCTTATCCTTCATCTGTTTGTTAATCCTTCGAACAACCCGGCGTCGTGAAACCGACCCTTACTCTGTTATCCAAATTTTTAAAGAAATATTTAACTCTTATGCAACCATAAACAGTACCTTTATTAACTACTATTTACACTATTTATTTATTTATTTTTTACAACTACTATTTGTACAATAGAACTCTCCAAAAAGTGTGTGTGTTTGGCTTCTATTTTTGCTTTGTAAATTTCGCATTAGTGTCACTTGTGTAACCACCCAGCCCTCCCCCCTCCGGCCCACCTACCATCAATCATTCACTTAACCGTATATAGGAGGAACTCCTCTGAGCCATAATCAGGTTTTTTTTTTTCACAGTTGAGCTGCCATTTAAGTGGTTTGCAATTATTACAACACACCGTGCTATTACCGACTGGCTAAACGGAGAAGGTAATGACTAGTTTGATGGGATAATATTTCACATTTCAGGGAAAGTTATTGTCAATTGTCTCTGGTGAATATTTTATGGATTGGCGCGACATGAGAAAGTAGGAGGTCCATGCAGGTCTCTTTATGTATTTAGATCGTTTAGATCCATTAGCCTCGGATGACTATATAATAGCCCTCCCGCAGGTCATTCTTCTTTTGGGATGTGAACAGTCCTATCCACGGGGTAGGATGTTCCTGCACACATTTTTGTGTTCGGTGTCTGGAAAACATGGTGCATGCTTCAGTTCCCGGCAGAGTTCTTGGCCAGATCTCTCCGGTATCTTCGGAGACTTCGGAGACCCGTCCGATGTCTTCCCAGTGTCTTCAGATTCATCCATAGAACCGACCCCAGAGCTATCCTCGTATTTGCAACAGTTTTTTTTCCGCAAGATTCAATGATCACGACACCAATGATAATCAAGACAAAAGATACAGTTCTTTGGGTTCTTGGCTTCACGCATGGTTCAGGCATCCCCCTGGCATCCTTCAATGGAGGTCGCAGATCGATGGAATTTGCTCCATTTCCCCGGTATCCCGTGTTGCCACATCTCTTAAATTTCTTTTGCGCTTATCCGAGAGAAATGACCTTCCAATATATACATATTTACGTTTGTATCGTATTTCAAATGAAATTTGATACAAATTTAATTGCTTTATTGGTTTTAATGCATGGCTTTTGGTCGTGGGGTAATTTTGATGTTTAACCAAAGAGAAAACAACTATTTGTTGCGCCCAAATAATTGCGATAATAATGGGGGGGCAATGGGAAACATGCAAACCCATAAAACACCTTGCGCTCTACCGCACTCTCTCCACGCCCCTCTCTCTCCATCTCTCTCTCTCTCACTCTGTGAGTCACTGCCATCGGGGGAACAATGCCATCGACTGTGTGGCAAGCCCCAAAAGCCAGGGCGCTGGCCGGTTGTTTGGATGGGTTATTGACACATTTCCTTCTATTTGGGATCCCCAATCATTCCGTCTCTGTCTCTCTATGTCTCTTTCTATGCGAATGTGTCCCCCTCTCTGTGTCCACTCTTTTACTCTCAATAGGTCTCTTTTTCTATGCCTCTCATGCTGGGGCTTTTTTTGTTTTGTTTTTGTATGCATAGCACACGATATTTGGTGAAAGCCAAGCCCCCAGAGAGAGTGGGGGATAGCAAAACAGCAGGCCAACATGTGGGATATAGTGGGTGGCACAGTCCAGTGCCACAGTGGCAACAGTGCATCGAACGCAAAATACAATCGAAATGGAAGAAAATCACCTCCGATCCTTTTTTCACAGCATGAGGTTCCACTGTGGAACCACTGTTCCGTGTAAATATTGTAGGCAATGACTAAATTAACAACGCCCCCGAAAAATGAGTGGAACATTGTTCTAAGGCCCCGCCCAAAGACACCATAAAGACACCACTGGTGCCACTGGTGGCATGAATAGAAATGTTGGAATATTTTTAAATTTCATTTCGTTTCTTTGGACACTTATGACAGGCACATATGTATGTCCATCCTCCTCCACGCGCATAATTACTCCGATATTTGCAGAGTCATAATCGGGCACATTTTGTGCACAACTAGCTCGGAAAATGATTTAGAATAAGTATTCCAAATGAGTATTCAAAATAATATATGATGCGGGTTTATCTGGAAATCTGTTGCGATGATGGAGTTATAATGTGTGTGCTTAAATGGTTCGTTGAGTGCCCCGATCCGGCCCGCTCCGGCCCGCCCTTCGTCGTGGACTCTTTCAACCGTGAGAGATACATATAGCGATATAGAGGGAGGAGTATACAGGAGGGGGTGTCTCTGGTATGCCAATTGCATGTCCATTTGGCAATCCGCATCATGCAACAGTTGTAGGGCGGAACAGCTGTTTCTCTGGCACTGAAAAGCCAAGCTCTTCGGAGAAATGATTTTTTTCAGATTTTCAAGGAACAAAATATGTTTGGTGGTTTTTAAGGTTCATCTAGGAAATGTTATATAACTGTTAGACAACTGTTATAATACAGATGTTATACAACTTTTATAAAACTGGTATAAAAATGATATAAATATGGCCTAATTCGTCCACAACAGTTATAGATCGGAGGAAACAACTATTATACTTTACTAACTGTTATATATTTGTGGAAAATATTTTTAGAAACTAATATACATTATATTATATATTATACACGTGGAAATTACCTTTAAAACTGTTATACATCTGTGGAAAACAATTTTAAGAACAGTTAACAATCTGTGGAGAACATTTCTAGCCCCTGTTATATAATTCCTATCGAAATTCAATCTCACTTTGAAATAAGTTTTGCGAAAATGGAAATAAGATTTACACTGAATTTCCGCATTAATCTAACTCGCGAATCTCCGCAAAAACCCCCGTTGAATCGCATTAAATTTCATGATACCAGATACGCTCAATATCGAAGCAAATTAATTAAATTTGAAGCGAAAGTTTTCCGTTCCCAATAGCAATGCAAGTATCTAACGAGGTGATTCATCGTTGCTTTGTTCTTCAGTCTCCACCATCTACCTCCACTCGAGAGAGTCTCCTTGACTATTCCCAAACATTATCCACATTCGCCGCACACTGGAAAGGGAAACTTGAGAACGTTTTCGTTGTGTCTGCGATACGATCGATGATGAGTGGAATGCGGGGCTGGCTTTGAAGCCGTTGTGTTGCGAATTTTTCAATTGATTGCGAAACCCATCCGGCCCGGGTATTGATATCGGAGAAATAAGACTGTACATACAGCTGCGCCGAAAAAAATAGCACCAGTGGACTAATGTGTCTATATTGACGGATTTTGCTTAAACAATAGTTCTAATGAATGTTGTGAAGTCCAATATATAAACTTTATGGTATAATTTATCGTATCCCAGAGCACTGGTATAATTTGCAAACTCCAAGTAAGAATATTTGAAAAGAATAGGATTTTATCAGAAATTTGGGCACCAACAAAAATAGCACCAATTTACAAAGAAATCAAAAAACTATAAAATACAAAGAAACTTTCCACATGTTTTTTGTAAAATATGTTACTTTAGTTGTATTTAAAGGTTGGCATTTTGTTGTAAACCCTTTGGTAGCAACAACAGCAGCTCAACATATTGGCATTAAAGCTCACCTAATTTTCGCATCTTTTCCTTGGGATATTGATCCACGAACCATGCAGGATACCCCAAAGATATTTATTGCTTTAGTCGGACCACAGGATGTTTCTCCATTTTCTTTGGCTCAACTTTAGTACTATTTTGCATACCAAACTTTTTTTGCCCTTTGCCTTCCCGTGAGAAGTGGAATTTTCCTGCTATTTTTTTCGGCGCCACTGTAGCTCTCGACATGTTTTAATTGATTTTCATTCTGCCATTTTCACTCTGATCGTTCCATTCTACTGACACGCACGCACGCGCGCATCTCTAGGTAAAAGTCAGCGACATCGCAGAAAATTACGGCAACCGCGACGGCGACGGTGACGGCGACGGTGACGGCGACAGCGACGTCGACAGCGACGTCGACGGCGATCATCTCGTTTCGTTCTTCTCTGTTTCCATGTACACATCTCCCCACTCCCCATCCCTACCTCGGCCCGACAACAAACGTTGGCTGATTTTTAATGATAATTCCAAGACTTTGTTTTCTATTCGTTTCGTTTGCCTACGGGGGCCCCACAGCAGCGTCGCGTCGTCGGATTCAACGGATTCTGGGTCACTGGAATTTAGCAAAAGCAAAATCAAAAGCAAATAGAAAAAAAAGACAGCAACGCAGAACAGAAAACGAAACGAAGCAAAATGTAAATAAAGAAACACAGCAAAAATCTTTATTAAGACTTGCAAATTTTTAATGGAAGTAATAATTCAGCTAAATGGTGGAATTAACTGAAGAGAAAGTTGAAATTGCAAGAAGGGCATAAAATGCCGCATAAACTATGTATCTCCCATATGCTGATCCCGCCCCCTCCGCCCGCAGCGTCTGGCACAATCAGGAAGCGGAAAGAGCGAGAGCAAGCCTTTAAAGGGGTACGGGTGGGGTGGTACTCTCTTCAGGGCAAGAGAGAGCATGCCGTTGGATGGTGCCAGCGGGTGCCAGACCCACAGCGGGACGTCGCGCAGCCACGTCGCGGAAGTAAGCAGAAGAGATGCGAAAGAGCAAATGGGAGAGGAAGCACAAATAGCGAAATGCTGATAATTGTCCACATACCAAAAAAAAAAATGAAAAAAACCAGCAACAATTAACAAGAAATTCCAAATTAGAGCACGAGAGCGAAAGAGAGAAGGAGAGAGAGGGCAAGGCAGACAGAGATTCAAGGAATGGACAGAGTCGTAGTCAGGGCAAGGTGGGGGAGGGAAAAATGGTTTTTCTAGTACAATATGCTGGCGGGACTTACCTCTTTAATCTTCTGACGTCGCTCCTCCAGAGTGGCGTCCACAGTGTCCGGCGCCTGGTCGTTGCCGCCACCTCCCATGGGCAATTGGATGATTTGCTGGGCGGGATTGTTGTGCGTGGAAACTGTGTCGGAGTCGCCCTGTGCTGGAGCTGCCAGCACGGGTACGGCCACATGGCGGGCATCCTCCGCCTCCGCCCGCTCCTGTTCGAGTTGCTCCTCCAGCGCTGCAGCGGGGGCTGGCGCCTGGACATTGGCTGCATCCGCTTCTCCCGCTGCTGCTGCTCCTGCTGCTGCCTGCGCTGCCGGCGGCTCATCGAGGATGTCGCCCAGCTCTGCTCGAATCTTTTGCTCCAAACGCTGGCGATCGCCAATAAAGTGCGGATCCTCGTTGCGTGACGCATGGGCGGCGAGAGGCGGGGCTGGTATGAATATCTCTGGACCGGCCTTCTGAAAGTGCTTGTAGACGCGGAGGACACGATCGCCGCCAAAGTTATCCGGCAGCAGGAAGATGCCGCCAAAGCACAGGAAGCACAGGGTGACCAAGACGAGGCCAATCAGACATTTCTCTCGCGAATGGAAGTTTGATTTCCGTCCAATTGGACCGATGCGATACATTTTAACAAATTAGTTGTTTTTTTTTTGTGTGTTTTTCTTACTAATAATTTTATTGCTTATGCGGGATTGTTAGGGTTGTTGGTTGCTTTTGTATTATTTTTTCTGGAGGCACACAGCTGTTCGGTTTTTGAGGTTTTGCCGGTTGAGGTTTACAGTTGTTCACAACACACACACACACTGACACACGCGCGCACGCTCGCTCTCGCTTCCTGCCTCTCTTGTGACGTCAGTTATGCGGCAGCATTGTTATTGTTTATTGCTATTTTTGGCAGGTTTACAGCACGCATACAAGTACAATTTAAAGAACTGTATGTACGAAAAGAAACGGTAAATAAAATCGCAGTCCAAAGACAACAATGCTGGCACTGCGGCGTGGCGTACGAACACGAAAAGGAATCGGGGCAAAAGAAGAGCAGCAGCAGACAAAACACAGACAAGCACACGCACACACAGATTTACAGGAACGTTTATGCGTGACACAATTGATGCATTGTTGGTCAAGAAAGGGATTCCTTCAGTTTTCTATTGCAAATACATTGACAAACGCTTGAAGCACAGATCCCGCTATACCGTGTCCCTATACTAAATATTTCATTTTATTGACGATTGATCACGATTAGGTAGCACAGACCTAGAGTACAATGGCAATGAGATTTGTTTGCTTTGAACCACATTTCTCAAGGGAATTTACTTCAGCGCTTGATCACGACTGGGCTCCACTGCATAAACTGCAAGTAACACACATACACACACACACACACACAGTCACTCAAACACAGTGGGACAGACAGGAGAGAGCGAGAGCAAAGGAGAGCAAGCACAGTAATAGGCGCACACGCAATTTTTGCAATACATTTGCTAAAACAATTTGGACGTATGTATTACGGAATATATAGACCGTTATAGCTTGCCAAAAGTACCGCTCGTCGTGAACAATAAAAAAAAATGAACAAAAAGTATTCTGTCGTTACTGGCCACTCTATGATGCGAGGGAAGGTGCGGGGTGCGGTGTGTGGGGGGTCCCTTTCCCCTTCGCTCTCACTATTTTACAGTTACAGCTGACAGACTGGCAAAGACCCAAGAGGGGTGGTTGGTGGGGAGGAAACTGAGGCATCACTTTGATTTTTTTGCTCTTTCGTTTTGATTTTTTTTTTTTTTTGCTTACTGTCTCTTTCTCTCTCTCTCACTCTCCCTGTCCCTGTCACTGTCTCTGCTGCTTCTTCACTTCCACGCTATTGTTGGTGCTTTTGTTGTTATTGGAGGACTCGCTCTCTCGCTCAATACCTGAACGTGTACTTTCTCTCTACTAACACAATGGGCCATTACCGCTGCTGGCGAACATAATATTATTTACAATACGGATTTCACGCAAGCCACGGTTTAATTTAGTTTACAGCAGAAATATCACATATCACATATCGCGGCATTCGATTGGTTTTTTGTTTTGTTTTACATTTTGGCTTAGTTTGTTACATGGAAACTACACGCTGACTACACGCTTGCTACATAATGGGAGAAAAACGAGAGTGTGGACAACAGGCAACACGGCCACAAAATGCAACGCATGCAAGGGGAAATCCACCCCACTTGCAAAATATACCTTGAAAAGCCGATTCGCTTTTTGTCTTCAAGGTATATTCTTGGTTGTTGTCCATACCCGTTTTTATAGACCAGTCAAAGTAACGACTCATTTTTTCGTCGCAGAGCAGAGCGGCATATTTCGCGGCGTTGCCGGATCAGCTGTTGGTGCTTAGTGCTGTTAGCGCGCCATGTTGCTATTAAAGCAGCTGTTCAAAATATCTGAAATTTGTTGCTATGCATTTGTTGATTGTTGTTGTTTTAATTTTAATTTAATATTTTATCATATGTTATTATTACTTACGTTCATAATTAAGTAAAAACAATCACAGCTCAGAATCACGTATTAGCATCAAGAGTTAATCAACACTGCCAACAGCTGTTCGGTTTTGCCTGCGTTTTCAAATATCTCCGTCATTTCGCATTTTGAGTAAATAATAATCGTTTCAACATGGAAAAATGGGTACGGGACACGCTATCCAAGTGCCTGGACTGCGTGGTCACCGACAAGATGATGGAGTGAGTGACCGCCATGGCTGCTGGTTGCCTCCCCTTTCCTCTTCCTGAAATAATACATTTTCGACCGACCCGACTATTTAGGGCCATCTTGGAGATCAAGGATGACTACGACTTTGATAACTATTTCGGTAATCTGCTGTGCGAGGAGAACGAGGAGCATCGCATCTTTCTGCTCAACTGCCGCCGGATGCTGCTGAGCGGCAAGCAGGCGCGCAACAACGCCAAGGGCGGCACGCCGACCAAACAAATGCCAAATAGATCGCCAATAATGACAAAAAAGGCGCCGGTCGCTGGTGCTGCTGGCGTTGGCGGTGGTGGAGCCAAGGGTAAGCAGGGGAAATATGTGAATCTGTATTCGAACGATGGCCGGCTGCAGGGCGACACCATTATGCTGAAGGGACGCCGCCGCTGCGACTGCCAGGCGGCGCAGCACAAGCTTATCAACAACTGCCTCGCCTGTGGCCGGATTGTGTGCGTGCAGGAGGGCAGCGGCCCGTGCCTATTTTGCGGCTGTCCCGTTCACACGTCCGAGGAGGAGCTGCAGCTGGCCAAGGATGCCTCCAAGATCAGCCAGATGGCCAAGAATCCCAGCAAGAGTCAGTTGAAGAAGAAGGAGAAAACCTCGAGCGCAGGCGGCAACCAGAAGTCTGGCGATGGCCTGGAGCAGGCCGTGGCGCAGCGCGATCGTCTGCTGGAGTACGACCGGAACAGCGAGAAGCGTACGACGGTCATCGATGACGAGCTGGACTACTTCCAGGAGAACTCCGTCTGGCTGAGCGACGTCGAGCGGGAGAAGTACGAGAAGCTCAAGAGCGAGATGCACGAACTGAAGCACGGCAGTCGTCTGACGCGCAAGATCAAGGTGGATTTCGCTGGACGTGAGGTGGCCGAGGAGCTGCCCGTCACCAAGGAGTACGAGCAGCAGGTGATCCAAGATTTGGCGGCCATCAGCAAGGCCGCATCCGCATCCACAGGCACATCCCTCACGGGCCACTCGGCCATGGCCTTGGCCCCCAATCTGGGCATGGCCAAGCCGCCAGTGTATCGGCCAAGCAAGGAGCTGAAGAACTGGCCGGCGGCGGCACCCGCAGGAACCGATAATCTGGAGCGCATCTACAATCGTGTGCAGGACAAGGAGCTGCTCGAGATGCAGGACATGCGGCAGTGCATGTCGATGCATCAGCCCTGGGCCTCGCTGCTGGTGGCCGGCATCAAAAAGTGAGTGCATTGGACCCCTCGATGATCATTTCTAACTCATGAATCTCTCTCTCTCTCTCTCTCTCTCTCTCTCTCTGGGCAGGCACGAGGGACGCGTGTGGTACAGCGAGCATCGCGGTCGACTGTGGATAGCCTCGACGGCCAAAGAGCCACATCCCGAGGAGATAGCCCACATGGAGGAGTTCTATCGGCTGCACTACAAGGGTAAGGTGGTCCAGTCTTTGGTCATTTTTCACCCACAACCGCATCCACAGATCCCAATATGAAATTCCCCGAGCATTATCCCACCAGCAGCCTGCTGGGCTGCGTTCATGTGGAGAACTGTGTGCCGCAGGAGGAGTACCGCGACACCTATCCCCGAGGCGAGTCGGACAGTCCGTATGTGTTTGTCTGCAGCAAGCCGGAGCAGCTGCCGATCCTGCTGCCCGTCCAGGGCGATCATAAGATATGTGAGTGTTTGGCCTCGCACCAGCAAAAAGGGGCTGCCTCATGCTGATCCTTTCTCTCCTGCCGATACACAGATGAACTGCCGCTGAAGACGCACAATGCCGCCTGCAAGACGCTGCTGAGGGCCAGGGCCAACAAGGGCTAAGAGCAGCCAAGGACTTCCTCACATTCGATTTCAGCATTTAAAATGCTGATTTAATAAAAAACATAAGCCTCAAAGGGTTAAAGGTTAAATCTTCAGTTGATTTTACTTCCTGAAATCCTAAAAAGGCCATAAACCAGAAAAAGCTAGATATAGCCTTAAAGAAGCTAAAATATCAGCACTTTTCTTACCGATGGATGCCGCTGCTATCGAACTGTCTGGCAACTCTGCGGCGATTTTAGACCAATTTCTGTTTTGATTGGATTTTGAATTTTATGCAATGGTGACCGTGGATGTGGAGTACTGGTAGGTAGATGCCCATCTCCATGAGCTGCTGCTGACCACTCTGGACTCAATCCCTTGCAGCGGCGTTTGCAACTTCAAGCTGCAGTGCCATCTGCTGCGCCAATTCCTCTTGGAGGCGGCCGGCCCCGGTGTGGAGGTCAACTGTCGTCAGGGCAGACGCGGCTCCTTTGAGGTGACGATCGACAAGCAGCTGGTGCACTCGAAGCTGGCCTCCCTGGCCTTTCCCGACCACCAGAGCGTGCTCCAACAGGTGCGTCGGGCGGAGAGCGGCGCGCCCGTGGAGACGGTCCAGGCGGCTCCCATCAAAGATTGCGCTCTAATGTGATTCGAATACAGAAGGAGTGTGCATAGATTTATTCCTAGATTAAAAAAAACAAAAAACGAATAGTGTGCATCTGTAGAGCATGGGATCAGCGACGGTAGCGATAGCGCTTGAAGTGGAACCACAGCTGGAAGATGTTGTTGTGGAACTGGCAGCGGAATCCCCGCTTGTAGCTAAACTCCCACTCCCGGTTGACGATCTTGAACGCAATATCCTCGTACGGCGGTCCCGTGTGGAAGCGCAGCACCGCAAAGTCCCCATTGTCCGCACAGGGTGTGAGGAAGTACTGCGGCGTCTGTGACTTGTCCATCAGGTCCGGATAGAAGATGTTGAATTTGTAGCCCTGGACGATCTTCGGTGGCGGATTGTCCATGTCGTAGTGCGTCTGGTTGTACTTGTTCCACTCGAAGCCCGTGTGGACGCGATTGAAGTAGCGCGGCTTGCGCGGCCGATACTTGTCCGTCGCCAGCTGGGGCACGGCATCCAGGGTGGTCTCCACGCTGAACTCGGCCTCGTCGCCCTGCATCCCCTGGCGCGCCTCGTTCCGCATGCGCTGCTCCTGCGCGGACAGCTGCTGCGGCTTGCCCGAGGACGATGCATCCACGCGCTCGGGACAGACGATTAGCATACGCTGTCGATGGATCCGGCTCTCGTCGTCGCTCTCCTCGTACATGGCGCCATCGTCATGTTCGTCTCGGTCGCCGGCCTGTATACGACGGCCGGTAAAGTCATCCTCCCTGATGTACGGCGGACTGTAGTTGCCGGCCTGGTAGAGGCGGACGGCATTGAGCAACTCCTTCAGCGGTCTATCGTCTTCGTCGTCATCGTCCTCATCTTCTCCAGCGGAGAGGGAACGCTGCTCCTCGGCAGCAGCCGCCTCCCCCGACGCTGGGGCGGCGGCAGCTTCCTCCTCCGTCTCGGGGGCCTGCTGCCTTGACTCCTCCTTTACTGCAGAGGATTGATCCTCCCCGACACCAGCTGTCAGTTCGTCCTCATTCTCCCGCTTGAGGAGCAGCAGCTTCTCGCGCAACAGGGCCTGATGCCGATCCCGGAGACGGGCCCGAGCCATGTGCGCCTTTAGCTGGGAGAGCAGGCTCTCCCAGTAGCTGATGTCGACGCCGTCGGCGCGGCTGTTGATCTTGGCCTCGATGCGCTCACGCATCTCCTCCAGCTGCTTGGCGTTCTTGCCGCGAAAGATGTCCGCCACGTCCTTGACGACACTCTGATGGATGCCGTCGCGTCGCTGGTTGAGCGCACTGGCGTCCGAGTGGAGCTTTTGCTGCTTCTGCAGCTCGTCCTGGACAATGGTGACCATGTCGTTCCAAAAATCGATATGCTTGCCCTGCTCCAGCTCCTCGTACACCTTGATGTCCACCAGCAGATCCTCCAGCTCCTCCATGGGCAGGCCGTGGAGCAGCATATACGGCTCGTGCATTTGCATCTCGAGCGACTCCTCGAGCGGGGCGTTGCCAGCGGCCACATACTGGGCCAGCAGATCGATGGGTTTCGCCCGTCCGTCACGGATCCGTATCTCGCTGCGTAGGCGCGCCTGCTCCAGATGGAACTGATCCTCCTGGCGCTGCCACTCGCGGAACTGGACCGCCTCCTTGGCCCGCTGCTGCTGCATCGCATCGTCCTCGCGCACCTGCCGCTCCAGCTCACGCTCCTGCCGGCGCTTCTTCACCTTTTCCAGCTCCCGCCGGTTCTCCATTTGCTTTTGCAGCGACAGTACCTCCACCGTTTTGGTGGATAGATTTGAGAGACCCTCCACCTGCAGCTTCTTGCCCCAGTGGAAGGTCGAGGTTAGGTTGGAGTCGCCGAAGGGATTATCCTCGTTGGAGTACGTCTGGTATTCGTTGTCCCAGCCCATGCGCTCGCGGCGACGATGCTCTTTGGCCTGCTTCTCCTGCAGGCGGCGTGCGCGCTTCTCTTCGGGTGTCTCCTGGGCCTTCAGCTCCTCCTTGCGGGCCTGGCGCTCTTCCTGATCGCGCAGGCGACGCGCCTCGAGCGTTTGCAGCAGCTTCACGGAACTCATGGCCAATGGCGATTTCGATTGGGTTGGTGGCGTTAAGGAGCGTCGCTTTTTGCTGCTCTTGTGGCTGCTTCTTTCACTGTGGCCACTATCCTTCTCCCGACGCCGCTCACGCTCCTGCCTGTCTTTGTCCCTTTCTCTGTCGCGCGTTGTGTCGTGGTCGCGTTCACGTTCCCGCTTTCTATCCTTCTCACGATGCCTGTCCCGACTGCTTTTGTGCTCGGGACTCCTGCTTTTTCTATCCCGACTCCGTCGCCGGGATTTGGTCTCTTCTCTGGGCATATTTTTTGGAATTTTTCAGGAAATATCGAAATAAAAACAAATTTAATCACAGCCTCAGTGTGACCGTGATGATCATTAAAATATACGGTCTTACCCTTAGAAATGTACCAAAATATACCGTACCATTATCAAAATATATCGATGAAAAAAAAAGGAACTTAGCCCACTTAACCGCTATTTATTTATACTGTTTGCAAACCAAGAAACTTTCACTTAAACTCCGCCAAAATTGTACAAGTTTCATAATTTTATGGAGTGTATTTGAATACCCACTAAGGGTTAATAATTATAATATGCCTATCGATGGTAAGCGCCTAATTTTAATCGATGTTTCGACCAATAATTAATTAGAAGACTGCCATCGATAGTGCGAAATCGTAGACAGGGTGACCGTTTACGGTATTTTTGATACTTTTCGGTGTTTTTTGGGGTTCAAAATGAGCTGACGATATATTTTATCGATAAGTCCGCGGTCACACTGATCGTAGAGCAAACACCGATTCGTGAATACTCTATAAATATGAAATGTTATATTAAAAACTGCGTTAAATACATAGGAAAAGGCAGATGCAATGAAAAAAAACGAAAATCATAAAGTTTACACTAGAACAGACCATGCCTGCAATAGGAAAATTCAGAAAACCTAGGCTTCCCAATGACTTGAGGCCCATAGCCAAATGCGGCAATGTATGCGCAACGAAGGGTATCTTCGAATTTAATTGCGGCAATATTTGCAAATATAAATAATGGTCTTGGTTGTCGCGCCAACAAACAGTCCAGTCCCGAACATGTCGTCATATCAATCAGAATACAACGCCGACGAGCAGGCGGCCATCGACAAAGAATTTACTAGACTTGCCAGTGAGTGCGGTGCTACGCGAAGGGCGGCATGGTGAAATAACCCTCTATCGAAAGATAAGAATCTAATAGTGGCTGTTTTTCCAATTGTTTAGACAACAAGAGCATTTATCTGGATCATGCGGGCACCACCTTGTACGCGGAGAGTCAAGTGACGGCCGCCGCAGAGCAGCTGCAACGCGATGTGATCTGCAATCCGCACACGTGCCGCGTCACCGGCGACTATGTGGATCAGGTGCGCTTCAAGTAAGTGGAGCGGAACGATCTGCGTGTCGGTGCGTCTCGATATTAAATTTGTATATTGTATTTCAGACTGCTGGAGTTCTTCAACACGAAAGAGGATGAGTATCATGTGATATTCACGGCCAATGCAACGGCCGCGTTGTCTCTGGTGGCGGAGAATTTCGACTTTGGCCGGCAGGGGAACTTCCACTATTGCCAGGAGAACCACACCTCAGTGCTGGGCATGCGCGAGAGGGTGCAGGCCAGAGCCATGTACATGCTCAAGGAGGAGGAGATCACTGGCATGGCCTCGGTGCCATCAGCAGCTAATGGAGTTAGTGGCTCTTCTCCTGGTGACAACTCCCTGGTGACCTTCTCGGCCCAGTGCAATTTCAGTGGCTACAAGATCCCCCTCGCGGCCATCGCTGGCATACAGAAACAGGGTTTGCCCCACGGTCTGGGCAAAAAGATTTCGGGAGAGGCACCACAGACAACAGACAACAACAACTACTATGTGTGCCTGGATGCCGCCTCCTTTGTGGCCACCAATCCCTTGGATCTGCAGCGCTATCGTCCCGACTATGTGTGCATTAGCTTCTACAAGATCTTTGGGTATCCCACGGGAGTGGGTGCCCTGCTGGTGAGCCGTCGCGGTGCCGAGGCCTTCCGCAAGAAGCGTAACTTCTTTGGCGGCGGCACCATCAACTACGCCTATCCCCATGCCATGGACCATCAGCTGCGTGAGGTCTTCCACCAGCGGTACGAGGACGGTACACTGCCCTTCCTCTCGATTGTGGGACTCCTCGAGGGCTTTCGCACACTGGAACGCCTGGTGCCGAGAAGGAGCGTGAACGGCGGTGACGTGGCCACTATGGAGCGTATATCGCGCCATGTCCATGGCCTGGCCCAGCACCTAGAAAAGCAGCTTCGCCAGCTGAAGTATCCCAATGGCCAGCCTCTGATCGAGCTGTATAACAGGGTGGGGTATGAGGAGCGCCACCGCCAGGGCGGCATTGTGGCCTTCAATGTACGCACGGACGCTGGTCCCTTTGTGGGCTTCGGTGAGATCGCCTGCGTCGCGGCCCTGCAGGGTATCCTCCTGCGCACCGGCTGCTTCTGCAACATCGGTGCCTGCCAGCGTTACCTCGGGCTGGATGAGACCATGATGGATGCCATTTACAAGCGAGCCGGCCGCATTTGTGGTGACTACTATGATTTGATCGATGGCCAACCCACGGGCGCCGTACGCGTCTCCTTTGGCTACATGACCCGGCGCCAGGATGTGGACGAGCTGCTCAAAATGCTGCACCTCAGCTACCTGGCCACCAAACCACAGCAGCGGCTGCAGCTCATCGAGGAGCAGGCGGGCGAGCTACCCAAGGCCCTAAAGGAGCGGGCCCAGCGCCTGCGGCCGCAGCTCCTACAGCTGGCCATTTATCCGGTCAAGTCGTGTGCAGCGTTCAAGATCGAGGAGGGTGGCGGTAGCGGCGGCGGTGGCTCTGGCGGCACCTGGCCACTGACGGCACAGGGCCTGCAGTATGACAGGGAGTGGATGATTGTGGACATGAATGGCATGGCCGTCACCCAGAAGCGCTGCTCCGAACTCTGCCTGATCAGACCCCTCATACGCGATGACCAATTGGTGCTGCACTTTGGCGACTCGCCCGACGGTGTCTCGCTGCCGCTCTCTCTGGCGGACCAAGCTGAGAATTCTTCGCGATGTCGCAGCAAAGTGTGCCGCCAGCCGGTCGAAGGTCTGGACTGCGGCGATGAGGTGGCCCTGTGGCTGAGCCAGCATCTCGGACTGGAGGGGCTCCGTTTGCTGCGTCAATCCTCGCAGAGGAGCACCACCAACGGTGTGCGGCAGCAGCAGAAGCTCAGTCTTGTCAACCAAGCGCAGTTCCTGCTGGTCAATCGCTCCTCTGTTCGTTCCCTGCAGTTCGAAGAGTCTCTGGACGAGACCGTGGATCGTTTTCGGGCCAACATCATCATCGACACGGGCTCGGCCTTCGAGGAGCTGTCTTACAAACAGCTGACCATCGGCCAGGTGCAGTTCCAGGTAGAGGGGCCCTGCCAGCGTTGCGACATGATCTGCATTAACCAGCGCACGGGCGAACGCTCGCCGGAGACACTCACCACCATCTCCCGCCTGCAGAGCGGCAAGATGCGTTTCGGTATCTACATCTCAAGGATCTCCACAGAGAACAACAAGGAGTCACAGCATCTCACCTGCGGCGATGTCGTTGTGGTCACCTAAACACAGCCAGACACAGCCCTGCATTCCGTGAGTTCCATGTGGAGGGAGGGAGATCCAGTGCGCTTCATGGGGCTACCCTTATAATAGGTGTACCGTCCTTATGCGATTAAGTTCTTATTATCTTTAAGTATTCGATGGAATATTCATACCAAGACACTCCAGATCTGGCTTTCTGATCATTTTCATTATTACGTACAATCATACGTATTTATTTATGAGCTATATATGGCCATTAACATGGAAATGAAAACACATTTCCATCAAATTCTATACCAATATATTCAGAATTGATCATTAGCTTCGATCTTTCAAAAGAGCCATAGTTCATATTTTTCTTTGTCGTTATTATTATTTGTTATTATTTGTATTATTTTCGGCGATTGTTATCCAGTTTAAATAAAGGCGGTTTAAGTGGGCTCGTTTTTTCACCGGTATTTTTACGGTATATTTTGAAAGTGAGACGATAAGTGCTCTCTCCTGCGACGAAAAAATGAGTTGTAATTTTGAATGGGCCATTAAAAAGGGTACACACAACAAGCAAGAATAGCCAAGGCAAGTTGCAAGGTTCGTACGAACCCTCACCTCTCTTGTGAGGACAACAGACCTTGCAGACAAAATGGGATTTTTGACTACAAGGTATATTGGGCAAATGGGGTGGATTTCACCTTGTGTGCGTTGCATTTTCTGAGCCGTGTTGGCTGTTGTCCACACCCTCTTTTTCCTTCTATTATGTAGCAAAATTTGGGCGGAATTTAGCAGCAGCGAGCGAGCACACACACAGAGCCCCCAGCACTGCACAGTGGGCGAAGAGAGCGAACGAGTGCGCCAGCAGCGAGTGCCCAAGAAAGTATGCCACAAAAGGCACAAGCATAAAAATGCACAAATAAAATTTTTAATCAAAATATTCATGTGTATGTACGTATACAGAGAAACCACTGCACATATGTGTGGATTTTCAACTACAAAAGCAGCAGAAGCTGAAGGAGCAGTGGGGCAGCAGCAGCATCAACAGACAAGATCCACACACACACATACAGCAGCAGCAGCAGCAGTTGTTGTTTTTTTATATAAGTGAGCGTGAGTGTGTGCGGCTGTGCTTGTCTGTGTGTGTGTGTGTAAGCGTCGTAGTAAAACATAGTGGAATGCAACAAATACAACAAAAAGCAGCAGAGGCAGCGCCAAATACAACGAAAATATAGGAAACATTTTTTGATACAAATTTTTTGCTAAAATAAATCCAAAGGCTAAAGCAAAAATCATAAGCAGCTGGCAGCAATAACAAAAGCCCAAAACCCAACAGAAAGAGAGCGACAGAGACACACTGTGAGCGGAGCGCAGAGCAAGAGAGTCGAAAGCATAAACAACAAAACGAAACCGAAAATATTTGCCCAAAGAATTAAGCCACATAAGAAGGACGCGAACGCGACACGAGCGAAAGAAGAGAGAGAGAGAGAGGCGCAAAAGGCAACAGTCACAAGAGCAAAAGCAACGGACAGAGCAACAAAAGCAGAAGTAGCGGGAAGAAGCAGCAGCTGGGAGCAAAAAGGAGAATTGCAAAAGCAAGGCGCTTCATCTTCATCCACCAACACAACCCAACCGCGTGCCGTGCGTGCGCCCCCATCCATCGACACACAGGAACATCAGCAAAATGAACATGTTACAGAGTTTTAGCGGCGGCGCTGCCAGCACCACAGGCGATGCCACCAGCGGTAAGTGTGAGAGAGAAACTTTTACCTTCTGTGAAAGTCCTAGAACCTAAGCCAGAACCCCTGTCCTCGCCCTTCTCTCTGGCACCGTTGGACCTACTCAACTCATTTCACTCGCAGCATATTCCAGCAGCAGCAGCAGCAGCAGCAGCAAACAAAAAATCCAATTACATATACATACATACACACACGCACAGCGTATCCATTTTATGTGTGTGGTGTGTTTTTGTTGTTGTTTCGGCTGTCGCGTCGCTGCTGCGTAGTAAGCGTCGCTGCTGCTGAAGAAGAAGGTGCGAAAGTGAAATGATTTGGCGTCGTTCCGCCAGAAGGAAAGAAAGAAGAGAAAACGCAAGCCGAAAATATTGCGCCACACTGACTAAGGGGAATTGGGAATATAATTTGATTATTTTTGCGGACTATAATTCGATTATATTGTAATTGATTGTATCAGAAGCTGACCGGATTTGACCTTTACTTACAGTTATCCGTAATTACGAGTATTTAATCAATGACCTATCAAAACTATACAAATTTTTCTTCGATTATACAGTTGAGCTTCCATAAGTAAAACCAGTATTATCCAAAGAACACGTTCGACTTATAGAGATTTTGACTTACAGAATTGGATGCTATGTGCTCCCTAAACGCAGCCACCAGTTTTAGTTCCGAATATACCATTTTCCAGATACAGACGTTCGAGTTATGGAAGTTTAACTGCTTATACTATGTTTCATATTGCATCTGCTATATACAGTCTGATAGAGTTGGTAGATTATGATGCTAAAATATATGCTTTTTACTTGCACAATCAGTGAAATTGATTCATTGAAAGAGCTTGATGTACAGCCATGCTTCGGTTTGAGTTCGGAGAAAGTCGTACGAATTGAAATCTGTGTGCTCCGGCTTTCGCAACTTTTTCGTATTGATAGTGTTTCGCGTTTTTTTACTTGAGAACAAAATCTGTCTTGCTTATGGAAATTTTAATATTTTAATTGAATATGCCTTCGTTTTGCCAGTCGCATTATATGAAACCAAAAGAATATCGATAGTTGATCTGTCATTTATGTAATCTTAAGATTTGCGAAAACCGGAGCACGCACTTTTGCGATTTGACAGTTAACTCGCAACTCTTGCGATTTGCAATAGCCGGAGCTTGGCTGTTAATGAAACAAATAATAATTTTCTGCTTCTTTTTATATTCATTGTATCAATATTTGACACGATTTTTTAGTAAGATTTGGAAAGTACAGTTTCCATCCACAAGTATAGGAAGACTATGTCGAATTTCCAGGATAAATTATGTATGTAAAAGGTTAAATTAGAGCAGACTTGGAAATACATGAAAAACAAACAAAATAATAGCCGTTCCAAAGAACAGCCAATTGAAATAAACTTTAAAATATTGTTTCCCAATTCGGGCTGAGACACTGCTGAAATGTTATCGAATAGATCTCCTTCAGGCCCTGCATATGAAAGTCTGATGTGGCTGAAATATCCCGCTAGGGGAGTGCCCTTCAATGTTAACGATCAATGCATATTTGTGAGCGTGAGCACGTCTCTGTACCTCAGTAAATGGAGTAGATAGAGGAAGATCCATTCTTAGGCAGGCTCCATTTTTGTTTGTTTATTTGAAAAACTATTTACAAATTGGCTCTCAAGATCTTTTGCCATCCAGAGATTTGCTCTCTTGTTGCCCATACAGAGAGCATCACTGTAAATACATACATATATTGAAAGTTCAGGCCAGCAAAAATGTTTTTTGTATTTTTTTTTTTGTAATTGCTCGACTAAACTGTTGAGGAGGGTCGGGGGTAGACGGTGGATGTTGGGGGTGGGGGACTGGGTGTTTGATGTGTGAGTACATAAGAGACCGACCATCAGCCATAGCATACTTCTCGGGGTATATAGGGATACATTCCAATAGATATGTATACACGTACATATGTACATATATTGTATGTGGAATGGAATAACAAACGGAGAGCAGACACATACCTATGTATATACGTACGAGAGTTTAGCATTGTGTTTGTGTGTGTGTGTATGGGTGGAGGGTTGCAGAAATTAATCAAAATAAAATACGAGAATGTCGACTGTCGACTGTCGTTGGTTTTGTCGGTTGACAGGTGGTCCCCGCAGCAGGTTGCAGTCTCTCTCTCTCTATCTATCTCTGGCTGTGCACCTGTGCGGCTTTGATGTGAAATTGAAATCTGCTCTAATTGCCATCGATTTTGGTTGCAATTTCCCCCCATTTCACCTTAATTAAATGGCGCAATAAAGACCATGAGAAATGCTAAAGTTCAGGGCCAAACAAGACTCATTTTCGCATTAATCTTCAATGTCTATGGCCGTGGCAGTGGCTTTGATTTTATTCTAACGGGCAACGTTTGCTTGTATTTTTAATGAGAAAAACGTGAACGTGAACGTGGACGTGGAGAGAGGCCAATTATCGGTTTTTAATGTCAAACGGCGACAGGTAATTGCATTATAGACGCAACCGTACGTATACTTGATGGCATTACGCTCGGTTAGCCGCACCACGCACCCACTTCCTGTCTTTCGACTTCTGACGGGGGAGCCCCGCATTTGAAACTCATCAAATTGCCTGGTAATTAAGTAATCAGAGAAGCCCTAGGAGGAACGCTACTTCCGTACCATGGCCACGGCTAGACCTCTAACAAGGCCATAGTTTATTCAATTAGATATCAGTAACAGGCAGTAGGAAACAGGTCTTTGGCTCTTCGCACACCTGCACTTGAAAGTAAATCAGTATTGGGTGAATCACTATTTTACCTAAATGTACAGTCATGTGCAAAGTAGTGACAAGACTTGGGTATGAGGCTGAGGTTTGATATTTTCTCTGGGTGCAGAGCTTGTTGTGGGAGGACACGACTCTTCTGTATCTCCTGTTGCACTCTCCAATTAGTTGATTTCTTTCTACTTAATCTGATTAGCGGTAGAGACTTTTGTGGTTCTCCATCTGTGCCGGATGCCTGCTGCCTGCCATTCCTGTGGCTGTTCTTGCTTGCAACTTGAGCTTTGGATGAGACGGAGGCGGAGGGGTGGAGTGAGCCATGTGTGTATATACATAATAGACGAGCACACGAGGAGCCAACACGTGTGTACGAGTATGCGTGTGCGTCCTTTGTTGGGTAACAAACATATGTTTGGTCCCCGCTTCCACTTACAATATGGTTGGGTGGTTCCTTTTCCTTTTCACGGTGTGTGTGTGCGTGTGTGCGTGTGTAAGGTAGAGCTTTCTCCCTGTAACTGGGAGCAAATTAAAGGAAACAGCAAAATGCATGCGCCATCCCTTTCTGATTACAGCCCAGAGTGTGCCACACGGGGCAGGCAGCACTGGCATCGTCTTTCAGCCGTGCTATTGCTGTTGCTGTTGCCGCTTGCCGCCGTCTCATTTGCGCCTGCTCTTCTTGCCGGTTTGTCGTTTCGTTTCGTTTCGTTTTAGCCCTGTCATCAGCTGTTTTATGTTGTTCAGGGTCAAGTGTGTGGCCTTTGCCTCTCGCACACTCATCCACTCTCTCTCTCTCTCTAGCAGGTGTGCCTCTCTGCCTCTCTCTGTCTCTATCTCTTTCCCCCACTCTGCGTGGCATGGCTTTGCTACCCTCGTAACGGGAGTGGCGTCGGGAGGGTAGGGCCGGGAGTCCTGTGGTACAAAGTGTAAGGTTATAATTCAAGGAAGTTTTTTAGCATCGCCACCGCCAGTCAAGGTTACTATATCTATTGGTGGTGGGGTGGTGGGGTGGTGGGGCATTGAGTATTGGGGTGGGTCTTGACTCTCGATTGTTGTTTATTGAAATGCTTTCCCACTTAAGGACGGACGGGGGCGGCAATTGCAAATTGCAAAAGAAATGAGAAAATGAGAATAAACAACTTAGGACCAATGTCGGCTTATGTACTTTCTGCTCTCACTGTCTCTGTGCCTCTCTCCCTCTCTGCCTCCGTTCTGTCTGTTGTGTCTGTTTCGGCACTTAAAATAATATTATCTTTTGTGTACATTTTTGTTTGGTGGCTGTTAAACCTGCAACGTTGCCGCTTTTCACACAGAGCGAGACAGAGAAGAGACTGAGATTGTCTCTGTTGTCAGCGCTGTTGCAATTTTGTCAGCCCCATCGCCTCCACCTCCACCTCCCACTCCTCCTCCTCCTCCTCCTCCGATGTAAATGTTTTGCTCCCTTATCGATTTTCGGGAGTTGTTTTTGTTGTTCTCTGTGAATGTGTGTGTGTTTGGGGGGCTGTCCTGCCGGGCATTGCCGGGCCATGTCACGTAGCTGCGTAAATCCTTTATTTCCATTCTAATTAGAAGCGCGCGCCTCTCCTTGGAGTTGTGGCGCTCTCTGGCCCCCAGCTCCTGGCGTTGCTTATACCCTATTAGCATATTTTGTATATGGACCAATACAGGGTATAACCCATACATACATACTATTGTACATACACAGTATACCGTATACAGTAGAATACAGTGTGTTTGGAAAATTGTAAGACCATGAGTTGCTTCCCATTTTGATTGCTTTCCTCCATGTCGACAATTTTTACATCGAATCGAATCGCAAACTTCGTCAACGATTCAAGATAAAATCTGTTTATATTCTATAACACAACTATAATAGGGCTTGGAATTGGTTTTTGTGACAAAATAGCTTGGAAAAACTCATAAAATATGTGTCGCGCTACATGCGGCAGCGCCCTTCGGTCTGCTAACCAGTGCTGTTGCCATTTTAGCATAGTTCAGGCTAGATCTAGCATTTTTGGCTAGTATCGACAGTCAGTATCGATACAAACAAAAAATCGTATGAAAGGGGCTCTTTTAAGCCAATAATTATTTAAAAAATTACTATTTTTTTTATTAAAATTAAATATGCGGATGTGATCTATTCATCTGTAGGGCTGGATGATTTATTTTTTTATCATATATATTTTTATCTCAAGCTAAATACACTCAAAACTTTTAGTTTTGTCGCATAGTGTAATTTTTGAAATCATTGTAGTCGTGTTTAAAATTTTATGCTGACGAAATTGCGATTTTCCATGGTAAATAGATTTTTTAGAGATTATAAAGGAGAATATTAAGACAGATTGCATGATTCTTGATACCGTTTAGATACTTTTAAATACCGAATATACTATATATATATTTATCTGATATTTATCTGATAGTCTGAATAATGAGAAGGGTATACTTCCCTTTGTCTCACTCTTTCTCAATGCTTAAAACTTTGCGATGGGAAAGCTTTTTGTTTTGCTATTCCAAAGAAACTTATTTTCATAATTGAATTCGAGCGAATATGCCCTTTTCAGGTTATTTTATTTGCCTTGCAATTCAGAAAAGAACTTATTTATGAATTTTGTTTAAAACACAAAAGTTTGTTAAAAAATAAATCTTAGGAATTCAATAAACTTTATGAAATGAACTGAACTTCTGAACAATTCTCTTCTATATTTAAGAATATTTATGTTCCGACTATCGAGCAATATGACACTTGTAAATAATTTAATCATTTTTGTAGTATTTTATTCAGATTTTATTTTAATTTTATTTTTTTACTTTTTTTATGTATTTTATTTATTGAGTATTTAATGATTTTTATATTTGCATTTACTTATTATTATTTAGTATTTAATGATGTATTTATTTACATATATTAATATCATTAATATCATCATTAATAAACTAATTTTTAATTTAATTAAATAAAGTGATTTATTTTTCGTTTTCTTAATAAAAATTGTTCTCTTTTGAATAAATTAATTTATTATTATTATTAATTTTTTTTTTTAAATCTGTGTGTTTTAATTCTTTAAATCCTTTCTCCCCCTTTTTCAATGTTTAATCGTTTGGGATGATGATGCAGTCATCAGATATGTGTCTCAGACAGCTGTCAGCTGCCAGGGGGTTCCCAGAACCCAGTGCCCCTGCCTGATTCACCTGCAATTACACGTGGGCTGATGTGCGTGCATCACAACGTGACACTCGTGAGTCTTCTGTTGTGCGTTATGCATGCGTTCTTATGGCAACGAAGCGCACTGTACGCCACACAGGCCATCACATGCATACACACAGAAGTGCGTATCGTTTTCGTATCGTACATAAGTATTTATGTAAGCATGAGGCATGAGGCATGAGGCATGAGCCTATGAGGCTTTAAGAGGCAGAGGGACGACGGATTTGTGCACAGGAGCAAACAGAACCAAAATTCACAGCGATGACAAAATGATTGACGTCGGTCTGGGGCTCCGAAACGAAACAAAACGAAACGGAATGATGAGGCGAGGTGAGGAGAGGAGTCCACATGGGTCTCGGGGCATGTGCAATCAATCAAAGCATATTTATGGGAGGGGCGATCCCTAATAGGGATTGGGATTGGGATTGCGATTGGGGTGTCATTAGCAGACAAGAAAGAGAGAGGACCAGGGCAACAAATTACGCTTGAGTCGCATTAATTTCCGATTTCCATCCCACATCCCACATCGCCCATCGCCCATCCACCACCGCACAGCCGAGACCGAGCTCAAGGAGCGGCTGATAGCCAGCGTCAAGAAGGAGGTGAAGCAACTGATGGAGGAGGCGGTGACCAAGAAGTACGTCCACGAGGAGAGCAGCTCGGTGACGTCGCTCTGCGGCGCGGTGGAGGCCTGCCTCAGCCATGGGCTGCGCCGTCGGGCCCTCGGGCTGTTCAAGACCTCCTCGACAACGGCCCTCATCCAGAAGATAGCCAAAATCTGTCCGGAGGCGGACTACGTGAGCCGGCGCCTGCTCGAGCTGGAGCTGGCCCACGAGAGCAGCGCGGTGAGCGGCAAGCGTTCGTCCTCCAGCAGCGACAGCATCATCAAGCCCAAGCTGATCAGCAAGCAAACGGGCAGCAGTTGCAGCAGCAGCTCCGTGACCACCATCAATACGGTCTCCAATGGGGCAGGCGGCGGCGGCGGCGGCGGCGGTGTCCTGGGAGGCGCCGGGACACCGTTGGGCAAGTACCTGTGGATACGGCTGGCGCTGTACGAGAAGCGGCTGGCCAAGATCATCGAGCATCTGGTGGGCAATGCCAGCAACTACTATGATCGCGAGGCGCTGGTCGCCGACGCCGATTATGGATCCATTCTCAGCTCCCTGCTGGTGGGGCCCTGCGCCCTGGAGTTTACGCGGGCCAAGACAGCCGACCATTATTGGTCCGATCCGCATGCCGATGAGCTGGTAAGTGCCTCCGCGCGTCCTCTACAGCTGGATCTGATCACCTTTTCTGCTTCTCTTTTGTGTTCTCAGGTGCAGCGGCATCGGATAAGCTCGGGCAACCGCACACCACCCACCTGCCATCGGCCGATCATTAACTTTAAGAGGAGCCTGCACACCAGCTCGGAGGACACGAGCAGCGGCAGCTTCAAGGCCTGCTCGCCGGCGAGCGTGGCCAAGGACTATGTGGAGTCGCTGCACCAGAATTCGCGGACCACCCTCCTCTATGGCAAGAACAATGTACTCGTCCTGCCCAAGGACGTGTCCGAGCCGATGCCCGGCTATCTGAGCCTCCATCAGAGCATCCAGTCGCTGACCATCAAGTGGACACCGAATCAGCTGATGAACGGCTACAACGACGGGGACAACAGCGACAAGAGCTTCTACTGGAGCTATGCCCTCAATATCAACGTGGACGAGATCGTCTACGTGCACTGTCACCAGAATCGTGGCGGGGATACCGGCGGCACCATCATCCTGGTCGGCCAGGACGGGGTGCAGCGTCCGCCCATCCATTTTCCCGAGGGCGGACACCTGCAGGCGTTCCTCAGCTGCCTGGAGACGGGCCTGCTGCCGCACGGACAGCTGGATCCGCCGCTCTGGTCGCAGCGCGGCATTGGCAAGCTGTTCCCCTGGCCGAAGAGCGTGCGCCGGCATATACTGCCCTCCGTTATGGAGGCCTCCTCCAGCGACGAGACGCCCATCGACTATGTCTTTCGCGTGGTCAGCAAGAGCCAGCACGAGGAGTTCTGTAAGAGTCGAGTTTCTGTGCAATTAACTGATCGATCAATCTGTACTCATGCATCCCCCCTCCCCTCTTCGCAGTGGCCACGCACCCCATCCTGGAGCTGGGGCGCTCGAGTCCGCGCCGCAAGCACTTGGGCAGCTGCTCCACCACCGGCAGCAGCGACTGCTCCAGCAAGAGTCTCTCCATCGATCAGAGCAGCAGCGATCCGCCCTTGATCCAGGCCAGTCAGACGGCCAGCATTGAGCTCGTGTGCTCCACCATGCGCCGGCAGATCATCTCGCGCGCCTTCTACGGCTGGCTGGCCTATTGCCGTCATCTATCCACGGTGCGGACCCATCTATCCGGACTGGTCTATGGCCGCATTATGCCCGATTGTAAGTGCCCGATTCCCCCCCTCCAATGGGTTCTTCGCTCTTTTGGAAGTCTATGCTTCCTTTGCTGTACAATCTACCCCTCTACTCTTCACAGTGGCTGCCGACGAGGAGGGCCTCACCAGACAGAAGTGGCTGGAGATGCACGTGGATGGCGTTGTCTCTGGCGAACTGGAGCTCTATCGCTTGGTCTACTTTGGCGGCGTACAGCCGGATCTGCGCAAGGAGGTGTGGCCCTATCTGCTGGGCCACTACGCCTTTGGGTCCACCTGCGAGGAGCGTAAGAAACAGGACGAGACCTGCAAGCACTACTACGAGACGACGATGAGCGAGTGGCTGGCTGTGGAGGCGATTGTCCGGCAGCGGGAGAAGGAGAAGACAGCGCTGGCCGTGGCGAAACTTAGTGCGGAACAGGCGCGACTGGCGGCCAATGCCAATGAGGCTGGCGCTGGAGCTGATGCTGCAGCTGCTGGTCCGAATGCTGCACGGCCAATGACCAATGGCACACGGGAGCTGGAGCTGGAGCTGGAGCGTGGTCTTGGCCACGATGAGGCGGAGCTGGGCGCAGATGAGGGTGAGAACAACGTGTTTGATGATAACGATTTCTCCGATATATCCGATCCTGGAGATCTGTCCGATGATCCCGAACTGGCAGCAGAGGCTGAGGAGCAGCCTGAAGAGGAAGGAAACGAGAAATCGGATGAGGAGCTGGACCAGGAGCAGGAGCATGAGCTGGAGCAGGAGGATGGCCGACTCATGCCGCAGCTGAGCGAGCAGTTGATGCTGGAGTTCCAGAATCTCGACTGCATGGAGCCGCTGCACCTGCAGGAGAACTGCTTCGCTGACTCTGAGGCGGAGGGGGATATGGGTCTCGGGCTGGACGCCGGCGGGAACATCCTGCTGCTGAGCATCAAGAGCTCGCCCTCCACCAGCAGCTATGAGACGGTCGGCAATGAGTTCGTAGACATGGTGGATGTCAAGGAGGAGGAGCCAGAAGAGGAAATGGAGCCAGAGCCAGAGACAGAGACAGAGCCAGAGGTAGAGCCAGAGTCCTGCGGTCTGTTGAGTAAGTTCCACAGCGCCGATGATGTGCGTCGGGACGGGCAGGGCGAGGAAGCAGAGCATGAGCATGAGGAGGAGCACCCATCCACGTCCGTGATCATCACAGAGGCCGCCTCCCTGGATGCCCTGGATGTGCAGTGCAACGACGACGAGACCACCGAAGATTTCACCTCACGCAAGACCAGCCTCATGTCACCCATGAACGATGACATCACGGTGGTGGCCTCCCTGGATGCCCTGCAGGAGCCAAAGTCCGCTTGCGTCTCCCCGGCCAGCTCCAATGGCGGCGTCTACAGCGTCGAGCTGCTCGAACAGTTCGGCCTCAATCTGCATCGGATCGAGAAGGATGTGCAGAGATGCGATCGCAACTACTGGTACTTTGCCAACGAGAATCTGGACAAGCTGCGCAACGTGATATCCACGTATGTGTGGGAGCATCTGGACGTGGGCTACATGCAGGGCATGTGCGATCTGGTGGCCCCACTGCTGGTCATCTTCGACGACGAGTCCCTGAGCTACAGCTGCTTCTGCAAGCTCATGGAGCGCATGATCGAGAACTTTCCCAGCGGCGGTGCCATGGACATGCACTTTGCCAACATGCGGTAGGATCTGATCTGATCTTCTTTACGCCTGTTATATGCTTATAATCTTCTCTTAATGGCAGATCTCTCATACAAATCCTCGACTCGGAGATGTATGATCTGATGGACTCGAACGGGGACTACACGCACTTCTACTTCTGCTACCGCTGGTTCCTCTTGGACTTCAAGAGGGAGCTCGTCTACGACGATGTCTTTGCCACTTGGGAGGTGATCTGGGCGGCCAAGCACGTGGCATCTGGAAACTTCGTCCTCTTCCTGGCCCTGGCCCTGCTGGAGACCTATCGCGACATCATCCTCTCCAACAGCATGGACTTTACCGATGTCATCAAGTTCTTCAATGGTATGCGAACACCGACTGCTTTTAGATTATTCGATTCATAGTCGATTCTCTTGCAGAAATGGCCGAACGCCACAATGCCCAATCGATTCTGCAGCTGTCCCGCAGTCTGGTCCTTCAGCTGCAGACCATCATCGAGAACAAGTGAAGAAGGGAGCCGTAATCGTAACCGTAACCGCAAGCGCAACACGCGTTACCATAACCATAACCATAGCCACAACCATAACCGTAGATGTGTCCCCGTATCCGTATCCGTATTCGTACCCGTACTTGCCGATCAGTATTGAGCATGCGATGTACTAGTAGAGAGCACCATAGATCATAGAATGTTGGATAGAAACTGCGCCTAGACATACCCGCACACGGCATACACATAGTGCATATGATATGTAGTAGATGGCAATTAGCTGAAGCTCTCGAATGAGGTTTTGGGCTTTTTTTTTGTTTGTTATATTTTTATAGAAACGGCTGGGAGTCGCCTAAGATGCGATGCAGAAGTTAATTGAAATTTAGCTTAATTAAGGAAATTGTAGTGACCTGAGATGTGACGTCGAGTAAAGTAGAACAAAGATGAGAGGAAAATGAACAACGTAAATGAAGAAGAAATAAATACTATTTACTATATACAATATATGATATACAGATAAGATGCTATATATGTACATGTATACAGCCATTCCACATATATAGAAGCAGTTACATATTTATACTTTTTGTATGGGGATGGAACCATCCACATATACATATATACACTATATAACAAATACCAAATACCAAATACCATATACATACATTTGCGATGCTGTGCGAAGGTTTTCGGCTTGGGCTTTCGTGGCCCGAGGCTGTGGGCCAATTGTTGTTAATGTTATTTTTTACCAATTTAGCAAATGATCAGATATATATACACTCACACACACACACACACACACGCATGTATATGTGCATATATTAGAGGTCTGCAGAGGGATATTGGGATTCATTCCGTCTCATTCGCATTCGTGCATTCGCCACTTCGTTCAAATCCTTTTTTTTTCGGAGTCACTCAATGAGTTTGAATGCATTCATATTCATGCAGGCCCCCTACATACATTTAATGATATTCGATTGCAATTGTTCGTTTCTTAGGTTGGATTTTGTTTGGCCTTGTTATCCAAAAGGGTTTAAGGAAAAAAACCAACATTTTCAGTTTCAGTTTTAGAAGCTTCGGGTAGATCCTGCGGCTATATCCCATAAACAGATCGAACAATTGTAGACCCCACACACACACACACACACACACACAAATGTTATAAAAATGTTGTTAAAGAAAAAAGAAAGAAAAAAAACTAAAAACGTTGAGTTTGAGTTGATTGCGTTATTGTATTAGAAGAATTAATATACAACAAAAATATGATACATACAATACGAATATATATACATATATTAAACGAGTATTTATACGCAAACATATTATATACATATATACATTATATATACCCTATATATAGAGAGCAAGATGTGTTAAATGTGTTACTGTATTTTGATTTGTTATATGTTTTTGTTTTTTTTTTTTTTGGGTTTCCAAACCAAAGAAACGTTCTCTCTCAGGCAAATGTTGTTTCTTCTGTTTCTTTCGAAAGAAATTCTTTTTTACTATTGCTGCTATGTTTTTTGGTAAGTGCAGGCGCACCAAAACTCCCTCCACTAAAGGGCTAAAGGTTTATCGGTTAAAGGTTTATACATATATATATACAACACATTATACAGATACCATACTATATATACATTGTATGGGACATAGGTAAATGCCAGTAGCACGCTTTTTGTGTATAGAAAACTAAACGATGGAAACGATAAACGAAAAACAAAAACTAAAAACCAAAAAAATAACTTAATGTGATTTCTTGTTGCTTCTTTGAATATTGATATTTTTGTAAGCGCTAAAACAGAAACGAAAACAGAAACAGAGAAGAAAAACATACAATATATATATAATGAAAGATAAAGATAGAAGATAGCAGGCAAGCGAGAGAGGGAGCGAGAGAGAGAGTGCGTGTGTATGTGAAACATAAGAGATATATTTTACAGATGAAAGCGAGACGAGACGAGACGAGACGAGAAGGGCCTCTGACCTCTGAACCTCTGAGTCCAAACATCATTTTGGCCACACTTTTGATAAAAATATTCGATGAAGGATCCGCCACGATCCAGACGAAACACGAAATACGAAATACGAAAGAAATAACTCTCGCTATATAATATTGTATCGTAATCGTAATCGTAATCGTAATCAAAGCTAAGCTACTATATATTTATATATACCCCGTCTGTGTAGAGACGATGACACCTATAGAGATGACACCTTCCGAGCATATAGTACATACATACATACAAACAGATATTATGTTACTGTTACATATAGCATTACACATGAATAGTATGACAAATATCCTATGATATGTTCCACAAACAGAACAGCATCACACAGAACAGAAGGCGAGGAAAGCCCCACAAGGACATAAACAAAACCAAAACTTAACATACGATTAAATGTATAATTTAACACAAAACAAAACCAAAAAAAAAATAACGATGGAAAATAAAAGCGAATTATGTAAAATGTTTACAAAAAATCAGGGAACACTATTCATTTGTTTATAAAAGAGTATTAGCCCTCCGATGGATGCGTATATCTCAAGAAATATATCGCCATTGCAGCATAGTGGATCCAAGGATCTCTTAATATATTATTACTAATCCATATACTATTATTTCTAGCCATTATAGCCAGTCAATATTCCACAAAAAACATCCAGAACACAACACATGATAGTCGAATGGTGTGTCCTCAATATCAATGATTTGTTAGTTAATACAAATCCCAATCCCAATTACAAATTGTTCATTTATTCAGCCGAAATACGAGCTATTTACAGCAATGAACATTTAAAGTATAATACTGCAAATTTTGATTACAAAATGAGCTCCCCACAAAGCCCTTACGCTCTTTCCTTCGCTCTCTTCCAGTGTGGCTTGGCCAACAGAAGAAAGAGACGAATATACTGTAAATTTGAATGCGATTTCTTGCAAGTGCTTTGAAACCAACCCCTCGGAAAGACAGCAATTTGGTCTCTATTATTCGGTTTATCATTAAAGTAAAGGAATTAAATTTTCCAGAAAATTGTAGGGATATGATAACTAAAATGTTTCATAGCTAACTCTTTATCCTTTCTCTCCCGTTTGGGATTCCAAGGCTTTTTATAAACAATATAACTCTTGAAGAAAAAGAGATATTTTGTATATTATTTTGTCTTTGGTTAATTAAATGTTAGCTGTAAAATTGATAAAAAAAAAAAAATTAAAAACTAATTATTTTTTGATATATATGTATATATTTTTTTAATTTACTTTTTTTTTATACTATAATTTACTAAAGAAATTTGTTTGAAAAATACAAAAAATCGGAGCATCAATTATCAATGATCAATTATCGCAGTCCAACGTATCAGCATCATCTGTTGTACTCCTTATATATATTATCTTATTTATTTGCAATCTGTGGCATCTCTGCTTGCACCAAAACATAAAATATAGATGCTAATTCCAAGAGTGTAGCACTATCTTTAGTTCTTCATAGAAAATTCCATTGACCAACACTCTAAATGGACCACAGAAACCGGGAAATAAGCTAACCAACACTACTGGCATCTGGGCTCTAATGGCATCTTAGTTGCTTGCACCTGAGAGACACAGGGGCCACAAAACTGGGGCACGCACGCAAGCAAAACCAGCCCCCCCCCCACAAGCTTAAGCACACATTTCGTTTCCGTACATTTCGGTACACACGAAACCAAAGCGTGGTGCAGGTTATGTTAAGCACTCTAATGGATCGGTGCGGGCAGGGTTGGGGCGGCAGGGAGGCCAAGCCAAGGCGTTATGGCGCACACTCAATGCGAAGCAACAGCGGGCCCATTACACCCGAAATGTTTTCGCCCAAAAATGTGGGGCATACTTACACACACACACACACAGAGACACAGGCGCAAGCCCATGCGGCATATACATATGTGTGCATTTGTGTGTGAGTGAGGCTGGGGAATGTGGCGTGTTTTCGTCCTGTTGCTTGTGGCAGGCAGATTTTCACCACGCAGCGTGCGACGTCAGCAAACTGTTAACGGTTAATACGCACACACACACACACACAGCACACACAATATGTATGCATATGTACTAGGCAAGTGCGAGCGAGATGCCCGATGGCCCAAAGGGCGCAACGCGAAAAGCTTCCGAAACGTAGCGTAATGGAGGCGGGTGTATGGAGCACAGTGGGACAAAAAAACCAAGGCAGCGAGCAGCAGCAGCGAGCAGCAAGCTTCGTGCGCTTGTAGTTGTTGTTGTTGTTGTCGCTGTCGTTGTCGTTGTCGTTCACGCTCATCGTCAGCGTCATAGCCAGAGTCAGAGTCAGAGTCAGAATTTGTGTCTGGCTGGCGGTTCGGTTCGTTCGGTTGCTTTCAGTTTCAGTTTTCAGTTTTACTTGGGAGTTTGTCGCGTGCAGTTGTTGAGGGATAAGCAGTGGCTGCCGCGCTTTCTAAGGATAATAATTAGGGACTTGGTCAGTTGTTCGTAAAGTCGACGAGTCGAGTGGAGTGGAGTCCGTGGTCATTCGGTCAGTGATTCAGTCGTCAGTCAGTCAGTCGGCTATTCCTTCAGAGTTTCCTTCTTTCGGTTTCTTCTTCGAGAGATATATTGTTGTAATGATGGGAGCGCGCGCTCGTTGCTCCTCTCCGGCGGCAGGCAGGATGCCAAATTATTTATAAAGCACCAGAGCAGGCAGCAGCAGCAACTAGTTAATAGGCAGCCGAAAATATAAAAAAAAAAGAAACAGAAAAAACAGCAAAAACAGCGAAGAAGAAGGAGCCCAAAAGGAAGAGCATCCAAGCAAAGAAAGCAAGGAAGCGCAAAGGACAGAAAGGAAAGGAACGGAACGGAAAGAGGGTCTAAGAGGGGAGCGAAAAGACGCGCAGCCCACAGGCGACACTTTACCGTTTTACCGTTCATCGCACATCCATTCTCTGCTGCCGCTGTTGCTGTTGCTGTTGCTGCTGTGTGCCGTTTACACTTCTCCTCGCACAAAAACAAACAGCCACATTTTCGAAATACATTTTACGCGCGCGCGTGTGACAGAGAGAGAGAGAGAGAGAGGGAGAGAGCGAGCGAAAAAGGAATTACGGTGCAAAAAGCTTTGGGCAATCTGCCCGAACGACTAGCTAGGCCGCCGTAAGCGCCAAAACACACGCCCACACACCGAAATTCCACGCGAAGAGCCACTCGAAAATGGTGCAAACCAATGCAGGTAATACATACAAAAACATACATACATATACACACACACACATAGATATATGTGTAGGTGGGTAGATGCGTTTGTAGATAGTCGATGCATTCAGGCATCACTTTTCACATTTTCGTGATTTCACACTCGCCCACCGCGGAAGCGGCGATTGAAGCGATGACTGGAAAGCTTCATGCTAATATTTCACACACATATACATATACATACATATGCATACATTCGTGTGAGTATGGGCATTGTATGGATGGTTGCAATGCATTCCATTCCAAGCCATCCCCCATTGCGGCTCCGGTAATCCCGGGCAATCAGCGAGCGGTGCTTCACTTAATGCGACAATAGTGTGTATCTTTTTGTTTTTGTTTGCAATGCCATGAGGGGCATGGGGCATGGGGCATGGGGCATGGGGCACACGTATTCAAGGCCATGCCGTTTTACAGTTCGTCTACGACTAAGCGGAGGGAAGGAAGGAGGTTCTCAACAGGTTATCCATCCAGAAGTACCCAAATATTGTGTCGTTTTCTCCAAGCAAAAACAACATTTTAATGACTAGTTAAGGAGGATCCCGCTCGTGCTCCTGCTCCTTGAACACTGTGGCTCACTATGCTGGTAAGCCTGCCCGGCGGCTCCTGGTTTCTCTGGCAACAGGTTATCTGGCCATCTGGCTGTCAGGCATTGCATTGCACAAGCCGCAGACCCGACCAGATCTTCCAGCCATCAGCCAAGGCCAAGGCGGATGAGCCTTTAGCATAATGAAATGAAAATGAATGTGTCCAGTGCTGGCGGCGGCCATGACTGTAGCCCTTTGGCTTCAGCTCCAGCTCCAGCTGCCGCTTCTTTCTGTCACTTTATCTCTGTGGCTGTTTGTGTTTCTTGCAGCTTAGCCACAATCAAGGCCGCATAAAAACTGCATGGCACACGGCAACAGGTTGGCCGGGTGGTGGGTGGGTGGTAGTCTTGACCACCCCCCCCCCCCCCCCCCCCCCCTCTTTCCAATGTAACGACTTTGGCTGTTGCTGTAACAGAAACATCAGCAGCAGCAACAGCACTCTCCTGATTGATTGTCTGCGAAAGATTAAGCCCGTCCGTTCCTCCGTCCCTCCGTCCGTCCGTCCGTCCGTCTATTCATTCTGACCGTGACGGTGCTGCTGCTTAAGACCTTTGCACATACATACGAGTTGTATGTCTTTTTAGATCCCCAGGATAGGCTTCCCTTTCACCCGGAAGGAGCTGGAGCTGTAGCCGTGCAGTTTCTATACACTGCAAGAAAAACACTGATCTCCCACTGAAAAATGCAATCTAGAGACAATATTTATATGATTGAAAGAAAGGAAGGAAGAAAGAAGGGCAGGCAAATGTACTAGATGCAACGGCAACGATGACATAAAGTGGACCCATACCCAGGAGATATCTCGTCCATCGTCCTAAGGCAGCTCGAGTCGAGTCGAGCCCCGAGCTGAATCATTTTCCATCCATTTTTTTACGCACCTCGACCCCAACGAGAACGACCTTGTAGGTGTGGGTGGGGGTAAGGGGCGGTGGGAACTCCGTCACACGAAACAGTAATCCCACAGGCAGTAATCCCTTTGTGCCCAATCCCTGCTTTTGCATTTTTCACATCTTCTTGGGTGCATTTTTCGAGATCCTTGGCCTCAATCGTTTTCTTACGAGCGATTTGGCCGTCCAATGGCGAATGCCTGGGGATGTTTCTAGGCTTTCTAGGCACCAGCACCTCGGAAGCTCTAGGAAAAAACAATAACTAATTAAAAAAGACGAACAAGTAGTGTTGCACAGCGTAACACTGAAAGGGACAATTGGTAGTTTTACAACACTGAAACGAAATGAGCCTATATAGACGAGTGGGCAGGGGACTTGCACCTAGGGAAACGTTGCTCGATCTTGCATTTCTCCCAGTGCATTCATTGCAGTGACTCTTTCGTGACGGAGACGGCGCATGGGGCATGGGGCATGGGGCATGGGGCACGGGGCACGGCAACACTGACACTGACGGATGGGACGCATAGATGGGGCAAAGCCAGTTGGTTGCTTTATGGCTTCCCTTGGATGAACGTAAAACTTTTATGAATGAAAGGCAATTGGCCACATCAATGTGGTAGTGAAACGAATACTAACACGAGACTGGGAGAGGAGAGGAAAGAGCCATGCCATAGTCAATTCCGTGCCGTGTCGTGTCGTGCCATAGAGAGAGTGGAGTGGAACGTGGCGCTTGGCGCGTGGGCGTCTGTTTACTTTTTATTCGCCTGTTCTGGCTAGCGGCCTTGCCTTGGCCGCACACAGACATTCATTCTCCGCCGGGGCCTGGCGGCACTTCCCACTCGGATGTGGGCGAACGTGAAGGGCTCTGGTGATGCATATCCGCCACCGACGGGCGACGAGGCTCGGGAGGATGACGATGAGGTTGATGATGATGGTGTGGCCTCTATCAATCGCTCAATTATGGCATTAGCTGTGGGCTAAGGCCGAGATTGACTGGGAAAAGTCAGTCACTCAGCTCGGACCTGTCGTTGAGTCCCTTCGTTGACACTCACAGTGGGGCACAGTGGGGTCACAGAGGAGACGCGTAGGTGCACGTGTGCGTTAAGTATGCGGGTCGTAAAGCCGTATGTGCTTTCGAGCTGGCGCCTCCAAGGGATTGCTACGCACCGATTATAATCTCCCGCATGCCCACAATAATGGAAGCCAAAAAGCATCCAATGGGAGATCAAAAAGCTTTCAGCGGATTCCTCCACATGGGAGCCCACGGGAACGGGGACCCATCCAATGCCGTGCCAGAGTTGGCCAAGGACTCCCACTGGGAGCACACGATCTTCCAGGGCTCAGTGCTCGCTCGGGAATGATCTGTATGTCCATACAAAAAGCAATCTGCTTGGGGTAATGGATTTCTGTTGTAGTCTCTGCCTCTCGGTCCACGGATTAATGCTCGCATTCCATCTTAAATCTGTTGTTGCAGCGCATTCCGCTGCCCTTGGACTTGTCCTTGGATTTACTCCTGTACTGCTGTACCGTTACTTTGTGGCACGTTTTCTTTCCCGACAAAAGCCCTTAAAGATGGGCGACTTACTGTCAGGGCAACAGAGACTCGTTATCCGTGCCGTGCGTGTGCGTGTTTGTGTGTCCTGTGCGTCCTGTGCGTCCTATCAGAGCCATTAATATTAAGCCCAAAAGTCAGTGTCAGGAGGCAGAGTCAGGGCGTCCCTCTGGTTAGGCTCTGGCTCTCCTTCAAAATTAAAAGTCCACTGTCTGGTCATCATTTATTTTACGTCCAGCCCCCCTTGGACATGACAGCCCCAGTGTTTGTCTCAGTCTCAGCTCCAAGCCCTGATCCCTGTCCCTGTCTCCGACCCACTCGATTGTCCTTTCATCGTTGGTTTTTGTCGTTGCCCCTTTGGAATGCCTGCTAAAGTTTCCCCGTTTGGATGGCACAAAAATTTCTCAAGTTCTAAGTGAGCAAAATTGCAAAAGAGAAATTCCTCAACTTGTCAATCAAATTCCTTAAAAGTATCCTTGGCATTGCTCTCCATATATTGTTAAATTGATAACGATCGCAGTTTTATGGGGCTACTTTAATAGGCGATATTCCTGCCTTCAACTATTGAATAGAGATCCTAGAGTGCTCTAGGATGAAGGCCCAGTATTATTGAAATCAAAGACAGTTGAAGCCAGTATTATGACTTAAGGCTGAAGAAACAGACGGCTATGTTTTTGTGTCCATGCAGAGCTCAACAAGAGGCAATTTTTATCTTAAATTCCGTAGATACCGGCGACAATTGCCTGGCTATTAGTCGACCCGGCATCTTTAATTAGTTAATCTGAAAGTTTGCTCCAGTTCCTTGCGCTTCGATCATTGAGTTTCACATAACAGAGGCGGAACCAGAGCCAGAGCCAGAGGCTATCATATTGATTCAGGAACTTTCTTCACCTTCTATGTGGGCTTTTGGCTTCCCTCTCTCTTTCTCTCTTTCTGTCTCTCTTTGTGGCTGCTGTTGCTGTTGCTGCCGTAAGAAAATGCAATTTGTTGGCTTTTTGCAATTAAGATGAAATTCTCTGGGCTTTAATTATCCGCCTCTGACCTTTGCTGCACATTCCACTAGTTACGGAGTGGTCTCTGGTTGCTTTCTTGTGCTCAAGAATGTTGTGCTGCAGAAATCAGAAATCAGAGCTTGCTGCAATCAAAATTACCATTCCACAATTGCAGTTTGCAATTTGCCATTTCTTCATTTTCCATTTGCATTTGCATTTGCATTTTGCTGACTGCATCCACCACCCCACACGCTCGCCCTCGCCCACGTCCATCTCCATGTTGAACTGAAATCCTAATTATGCCGAGCAAACCTTTCCAATTGAGTTTGAGGGGCTCCCTCCACCGAGTGCAGCCACGTAGTAAAATGTCAGAGGGTGCACCACATGCCACGGGTATGCACGAGTGCACGTAAGTGTGTGTAGGCGGGTAATGGATTGCTGAAAGGGGGCAGTCACATCCCCTTTTAGTGACCTTTGCCATAGCTTTAGGCCAAGCACTGATCTTTGGCTTACGCATTCGATTCAATGGAGACTGGAATGGCTGCCCAAAAAAGTAGGCAACACTTTTTGTCGCTTGGCGACTTTGCAGATGTGGCAAAATGTCCTCCTGCGGGGGCTTTGTGTCGCAATTTCAGTTCAATTTGCGGTCAGAAATGGCCAGACCACTGACTGCAGCTATTTTGAGTAGGATTTACAGGCCACGGTCTGAAGGGGAGCATCCAGGGCGGATGAGTGATAATTCCATTGGCAAAATGATGTGCGTTCTAGGCTAAATCTATACTTAAGCTCTTATTTGAAGTTTATTTGAAGATCTTAATGAAATGAGGGTTTTTTTTAAATGAATTTATGAAAAGTTCTGCAAATTTGTGCGGTTTTTTCCGGCTAAAACACTGCCATAATGCGAAATCCCTGGCTCAAATATATCAAAGCATATTCATTTTTAATCCCTTAATGAATACTTGATCTTTGTCTTAGTATTACCCCATAATTGGCGACTGCATTGAAACAAACAAACAAAAAAATATGCATTCCGTATTCAGGGAGGGGTGTGCCACTTGTCTCCCATGACTCTAATTAATCTACTGAATTGCTGGCTTTTTCTCAGATTCGACAAGGAAAGTCCTCTCCTATTTGGGGAAACCGGTCCCCTTAATGAGCACGGTATTCAGACAAACTTATGGTTCCTTAAGTTTCCCAAGAACGAAACTCCGATAAACTTTATTCCTGAGAGGGTAATGAGGGAGAGAAATAGCTGTTTTTGTTGCTGGGTGTGTGATTTTATTGGCAGTAAACATCGAAGGAATCCATATCCATATGTTCAGTCCCCCCGCTTTCCTTTCCCCATGGGTTATGCCACATTCGCCCCCCGTATCCCAAATTAAGTTGGGCTCTGTGTGGATCCAATGGTAATGCAGTTTGCGTGTTGAAACAAGCACCAGACAAGCCCTCGTACTCCGGCGCACACACAAGCACATACGAATACGAATACGAATACGAGTACGAGTACGAGTACATTAGACCGTAATTAATGTCGCAGTTTCGCACTTCCACTCCTACACCACCCACCGCCGCCCCTCCCTTTCTCTGGCTCTCTCTATGATTATATGCATGTACATGTATCGTCTTATGTACGCGTATATGTGTATTTTGTTATCTGTTTATGCGGGTGTTTCTCTCCCAAAAACGAAAAAAAAAAAAAAAAGGAAAAGGTACAGCCGAAAGCTCATTTGGCCACAAAATGAATTGAAAGCGAAGGCAAACACACAAAAACAAAAACAAAAACAAAGAGACAGATGTAGCACCGATAGGATGTGGGGGATAGGGGCGGCACACACACACACACACACTTTGGCATACTTTGCCACCATATTCCATTGTCTAATTAAGTGTTTATCTTAATTATATGCGTACATACGAACAAGTTGGTCAGATTGATAAACTCCCAGGCATTACATAGAATATACATACATATATTTAGATATTCAGATATGAATACCAGTGCGTTCGAGTGTATACTGGAATTGTTGTCTGTTCAGAGCGACCAGCCCCGTATAAGTAGTTACACTTCGAATTAAATATTTATGCCGGTATATTGGCACCGAGATCTCTTATCCTTGGCTTAAACGACGCCCAATTAATGCACCTGCACAAATAAAATATAAAAACTTAAGAACCAAATTTTCGTCGACTTTTTCCGAGTTTTCAAAGTCAAAATACCGCATAAAATGGTAAATGGTAATCAAAATTTATAGCTGCATTTTCAGAATTGCAAATAAAAAACATAAATTTGAATACAAATATTTTGTCATCACAAAAAACTTAATTCATTAAAATTTTCAAGACCCCGAACATATCAGAAAAAGTTTGATATTGTAATATAAAAGACTATTTGAAATGTATATTTAATTTAAAGATGGCTGTGTCTCTTTTTACTAGGCCAGTTTTCTGCTTGCTCCACGGTTTTTTTTTTTCTTGGGATGCATTGGGGATCTCTGTCTGCTTCTACGTGAGAACTTTTTTCAATGTCAAAGGCCTTCAGAAATTGAGGTTTGCATTGGTACTGACCATCTTTAAAATCGTTCTAAAAAAAGGTCAAATGTAAAGTATTTATATCGTGCATCCACGCACAAATATGTAGATGGCCATCTTTATAAATATCCTTTCGGGCCATCGAATCGAATCCGGACCAACGAACAGCAAAAAATGTCGCCGGCTGAAAATAGAAAAACGATTCGCTTTGGAGCTTAATTTAAAATTGTGGCACCCAGACCGCTTCCCCCAATTAAGGGTTTGCTGGGTGGTTGGGTTGGCCAAAACTCTCGCTGAGTCTGAACCTGAGCATGAATCTGTTAAAGCCATCAATTGGCATTTGAGGGCCAAATGAAATTACGATTACGATCCCTACAGGGAGGCCATCGAAAGCCATAGTCTTCTCCATTCTATTGAAGTACGATTTACATTAATTTATTCCAATTTGCAATTTATTTTGAGTTTTTCACGTGGAAAATGAAACGCCCTAGGGATTGATTGTGGATTAGGTGTTGGAAGCAGGTGGAATCGCAGTCAATGACGCAGCCTTGCTTCCTATCAAGCACCATCGTCATCAGGGTGTACAGATGGTCGAGAAGCACTGGGAGTGACTGGGGAGCTAGGGAAGTGTCCGTCAATAGCGGTCAAAACGATATTCACCAAACAAGCACGCACACTCATCCGAAAGTGCTGATTGGTGCTTTCCAAACACTTGAATTCCGATGAACAGCAGCAACACCCAAAGGTGGGGAGGATCCAGTGACCCAGTGAGAGGGACCTACAGAGTGAAGTCAAAGGGTCATTAGATTCGGGGAAGTGTTTTATGAGGCTTCGGAGAGATTTGCGGCGGAAGAAGCCATTAACCATTAAATACAGGGCTATTAAGAATGTGGCGTTTAAACTGTAAGCTCTTTCCGCTATACTCGCATAGTATTTCCATCCGCTTCTGTGGCTTCTGTGCGCCTGAAGCATACCGCCACGAATAGTCGGGTGTGGGAGATACTCGAGGTCGCCTAGAACGTGAGAGTTACCCATTGGCTCTCCATTCGTCTGGTTTTCGTTCCGATTCCCACTGCTTCGTGGACCAGCTTCTGCTTCTGTTCTTGTCCTGCCTTATGTTCGCAGTCCAATTCCTGTGGCTGCAAGGAGCTGCTCATGGTCCTGCGTCATACCCGCTTCCCTTCTGCTCTTGGCCCTACTCTTTGAGCACCCTTGTTCCTGTTGCTCCTCGGTCTGTCCCTGCTGCTTGATTCCTTTTAAATATTCCTGCTGCCCCTTGCTCTTGCCCCTGCAGCTCCTTTCTCTACTCCTGTTTCAACTCCTGTCAATGCTGGCCATTCCCCGATGGTTTTTAAACTTTACTTTGTCGCCAGATCCAATGTCCAAAGGCAGTAGGTGACGGGAATCGAGATGGGGATGGGGATGGGGAGGGGTGTTGTGGCAGTAACCATTATCCAATGTATTTCCTTTCATTTGTGCAGCGTCAACATGCGGTATGGGGCATGGGGCATGGGGCAAACAAAGAAGCAAATAATTATACAAATCAACCAAAGACAAATAGAAACTTTTGCTCTCTGCCATCACCATCTCTCCATCTGTCTGTTGTGTGTCGCTGTTGATATTTGCATTTGCCAGCTGCCCTGACACCGTTCTCATGCCCCATGCCCCATGCCACATGCCACACTGGCCCCATGCCAGTAGAAATTAAGTTATTAAAACTTTGGTGCCTCCTCCCCGCTGGCCATTTAAATGCTAATTGCATGTGTGCCGCATAAAAACTAAGCGATGTTGCACACAGCAAATGAAAATGGTGCAACAAAGGAGCAGTAATTAAAACGGGGAAGCCCCGAGCACCATCCAGCCATCCAGCCATCCATCGGAGCCGCACAGCCACAGCTTCAGCCTCAGCCCCAGCCAGTGGCAAGGACATGGCCTGGCGACAACTCGGTCGGCGTCCCAGACATCAGCAGAGTGTCGCCGCCACCAATACACCATTCCACATCATCATCATCGTCATCATCAGCATTAAAACGCGGAAAGGACACACATAATGAGCTCGACACGCAGCTGGCGACTTGACTTTACTGCTGAGTGCATTTGGGGGAAACCCTAAAACCGAACCCCCAATACTGGGACACATCGATATCCCATACCCCCTGAATGTGAGGAAGATGAGGAAAACCCCCAACAGGTGGTGGAAGCGAGTGAGCCGGGGGTTGGCGTACGAGCGTAACGAGTGTGCAGATATTTATGTATCTTTAGTCATATATCAGGATCGTTTTCTCTACAACGTTCCAGCTTTAGATCATTCTTCATTCTTGAAAATTTGCATTCTTTTATGTGAAAATTTATTGCAATTTGCGCTGTGCGCTTCTTCCCGCCATTTGGCTATAATTCATTCGGAATCCTTGAACCATTATTTATCATTCGTCATCCTTGGATGGGATATTTGTATCTTCTCTCTATATAGTATCTGTATCAGTATCTGTGTGTTGTCATTTGTCATTCGGGCATTCCCGCAGCCATCCGAGGAGCCCTCTCTAAATGGAAAACAATTAATGAAAATGAAATTATCCATGGCCGTAGGACATCACATCATGAATTTTGAGTGCAAATGCCATTAGCATTTGTGCTTGTTCCTCAGTGGGCGTGGCCAAAGTGGTCAACATTTGGAGGAGCAGCCAGCAGCAGCAGGCCGCAGGGGGAGCACGACCCGGCTCTGTGTTCTGTGTGCTCTGGTGATTTGGGGGGGGTGGCCCATGTTGAACATATTGAATTTCAGAGTGCAGGAAGGATGTGACGCTGCCAGTGCCAGTGGCAGTGCCAGTGGCAGTGGCGGGGGACACACACAAAACTCGTAGATGTGGCAGGAGGCAGGGTCTGACGGCGGGGGTATTTGACATTGGGGCGTTGTCGCTGTGATTTCATTTTAAGGCCCTGCGGGGGGCTATACTTTTTATGAGATTCACTTTGCCGCACAGATGGTGATAATGATGATGTTATTCCAGATGGCTGCGACTACAAGGAGCGGCTGATAGCCAGCGTCAAGAAGGAGGTGAAGCAACTGATGGAGGAGGCGGTGACCAAGAAGTACGTCCACGAGGAGAGCAGCTCGGTGACGTCGCTCTGCGGCGCGGTGGAGGCCTGCCTCAGCCAGGGACTGCGCCGTCGGGCCCTCGGTCTGTTCAAGACCTCCTCGACAACGGCCCTGCTGCACAAGATCGCCAAGAGCTGCCCAGAGGCGGAGCACATCAGCAAGCTGGTGCAGGAGATCGAGGCGATGGACCCGAACAAGCGCTCATCCTCCAGCAGCGACAGCTTCCAGCGGCCCCCGATGCTGAAGAAGAGCAGCAGCAATTCGATGCAGTCCGCCAGCAGCAGCAGCAATGCCACCGGCAACGCCTCCACCGCATCCGCCGTCAGTGCCAGTGCCAGTGGCAGTGGCAGTGGCAGTGTCAGCAGCTCGAGCATGGCGTTGGTCAGCATGAAGTATCTGTGGATCCGCTTGGCCCTCTACGAGAAGCGTCTGACCAAGATCATCGAGTATCTGGTGAGCAATGCCAGCAGCTTCTACGACCGCGACTCCCTGGTGGCCGACTCCGACTATGGATCCATTCTCAGCTCCCTGCTGGTGGGGCCCTGTGCCCTAGAGTTTACGCGGGCCAAGACAGCCGACCATTATTGGACCGATCCGCATGCGGATGAGCTTGTGAGTCCCATCTCTGTTCCCCCTGGGGCGTGTCTCTATTCTGTTTTCTGTTCCAGGTGCAACGTCATCGAATCAGCTCGGGTCGCCGCTCCTCGTCGACCTGCTCGCGGCCGGCGATCATCAACTTTAAGCGGAGCCTGAACACCAGCTCCGATGAGGCCAGCACCGGCTCCTTCAAGTCCATGGCAACGGCGAGCGTGGCCAAGGACTACGTGGAGTCGCTGCATCAGAACGCCAAGGCGACGCTGCTCTACGGCAAGAACAATGTGCACGTCCTGCCGAAGGACGTGGCCGAGCCGATGCCCGGCTACCTGAGTCTGCACCAGCACATCCAGACGCTGACCATCAAGTGGACGCCGAATCAGCTGATGAACGGCTACAACGAGGCGGACGAGGGCGAGGACATCGACAAGGAGGCCTTCTGGGCGTACGCCCTCAACATCAACGTGGACGAGATCGTGTACGTGCATTGCCACCAGAGCCGTGGCGAGGACAGCGGCGGCACCGTCATCCTGGTGGGCCAGGACGGGGTGCAGCGACCGCCCATCCACTTCCCGGAGGGCGGGCACATGCAGCAGTTCCTCAGCTGCCTGGAGACGGGCCTGCTGCCGCACGGACAGCTGGATCCGCCGCTCTGGTCGCAGCGCGGCATCGGCAAGATGTTCCTCTGGCCGAAGAGCATGCGCCGGCGCATCCTTCCATCGGTGATGGAGTCCGTGGACGAGACCCCCATCGACTATGTCTTTCGCATTGTCAGCAAGAGCCGGCACGAGGAGTTCGCTGCCACCCACTCGATACTGGACTTTGTGCGGAGCACACCGCGTCGCGCCCAGCTGAGCAGCTGCTCCACCACCGGCAGCAGCGACTGCTCGAACAAGAGCCTCTCCATCGATCAGTATCCGGTGGAGTCGCCGCTGCTGCTGCTGCAACAGCAGCACGCCCAGAACACCAGCATCGAGATGGTCTGCTCCACCATGCGCCGCCAGATCATCTCCCGGGCCTTCTACGGCTGGCTGGCCTACTGCCGTCATTTATCCACGGTGCGGACACATCTCTCCGGACTGGTGCATGGCCGGATCACGCCAGAAAGTGAGTTCCTGCAGGCTTCCCATGCGGTCCATGGTTGCTTACGGCGGTTTCTGTTTCTTTTTAGTGAAAGCCGATGAGGAGGGTCTCACGAAGGAGCGCTGGCAGCTCCTCAATGCGGATGGTGTCCTCGAGAATGCCACCGAGTTCTATCGCTTGGTGTACTTTGGCGGCGTACAGCCGGATCTGCGGCAGGAGGTGTGGCCCTACCTGCTGGGCCACTACGCCTTCGGGTCCACCCGCGAGGAGCGTAAAAAACAGGACGAGACCTGCAAGCACTACTACGAGACGACGATGAGCGAGTGGCTGGCCGTCGACGCCATTGTGCAGCAGCGGGAGAAGGAGAAGACCGCCAGGGCGGTGGCAAAGCTCAGCTCCAGCGGCAGCAACAGCGGCAACGATCGGACGGTGCGTGCCGCCGATCTCGACGCGGGCGGAGAGCTGGAGAACGAGGTGTTCGAGGACATCTCGGACATATCCGATCCGGGCGACCTGGAGTTCGATGACGAGCAGCGACAGCAACAGCAGCAGCAGCATATCCATGGCCAGCAGCAGAAGCAGAAACACCAACAGCAGCAGCAGCAGGAGGAGGTGTCCGTTAGTGGCATGCACCTGTGCGTGAAGCCCATTCCAAGGGCCATGAAGACCAGCACGGACTCGGGCCATGTGGACGAGGGCGAGAACTTTAACGAGCTCGATGAGGAGGCCGAGCAGGAGCAACAGGAGAAGATCAACGCGGAGCCGCCCATAGCCAGCTGCTCTACGTCAACAGCATCCTCCTACGAGACGGTGGGACCCGGCGGAGCCCCCCACCAGCCCAGCGACAGCCGCAGCCGCAGCGTCCTCAGTCCGGAGTACCTCAGCGCCGACGATCTGCAGCTGCCCGAGGACGAGGAGGAGGTCAAGCCCCCACAGCAGCAGCAGCAGCAGCAGCAGCAGGCAGCTGTCATCATCACCAACGCCTCGGTGGACCTTGCCAACTGGGAGCGCAGCCCCAAGGCCGGCAACAGTCAGCAGATGTCCCCCGTCCAGGAGCAGGCGGCGGCCCTGGATGCCCTGCAGCAGCCAAAGTCGGCCTGCGCCTCCCCAGCCAGCTCCAATGGTGGCGTCTACAGTGTAAGTAGAGCATCTCCATGATACGTATACGTACCCTCGATGATCCTTGACGATTTGTTGCCATCCGCAGAGTGAGCTGCTCGAACAGTTCGGCCTCAATCTGCATCGGATCGAGAAGGATGTGCAGAGATGCGATCGCAACTACTGGTACTTTGCCAACGAGAATCTGGACAAGCTGCGCAACGTGATATCCACGTATGTGTGGGAGCATCTGGACGTGGGCTACATGCAGGGCATGTGCGATCTGGTGGCCCCACTGCTGGTCATCTTCGACGACGAGTCCCTGAGCTACAGCTGCTTCTGCAAGCTCATGGAGCGCATGATCGAGAACTTTCCCAGCGGCGGTGCCATGGACATGCACTTTGCCAACATGCGGTAGGATCTTATCTGATCTTCTTTACGCCTGTTATATGCTTATAATCTTCTCTTAATGGCAGATCTCTCATACAAATCCTCGACTCGGAGATGTATGATCTGATGGACTCGAACGGGGACTACACGCACTTCTACTTCTGCTACCGCTGGTTCCTCTTGGACTTCAAGAGGGAGCTCGTCTACGACGATGTCTTTGCCACTTGGGAGGTGATCTGGGCGGCCAAGCATATAGCCTCGGGGCACTTTGTCCTCTTCCTGGCCCTGGCCCTGCTCGAGACCTATCGCGACATCATCCTCTCCAACAGCATGGACTTTACCGATGTCATCAAGTTCTTCAATGGTATGCGAACACCGACTTTTTTTAGATTATTCGATTCATAGTCGATTCTCTTGCAGAAATGGCCGAACGCCACAATGCCCAGGCAGTGCTCCAGCTGGCTCGGAGCCTCGTCCTGCAGCTGCAGATGATCATCGAGAACAAGTAGAGGGGAAAACACTATACTAAACGAGTAGTAGAGTAATAGTAGACCAGTAGACCCATAGAGACTATAGATCGTAGTTCGGATCGTCAGTCAAATTTCGTTTGCCAAAAAGGATAATCAAACCAAAAGAAATCAAAAAAAAAAGAAAAAGAAAAGGCAACAATAAATAGTATGCATAGGAAATACTTTTGTTTCTCACTCGATGTCTTCTTTATATGCGACATGCAACGTGCATCATGCGACTCTAAATGTAACCGTAACTGTAACTGTAACCGTAACTGTAACCGTAACTGTATCTGTAACTGTATCTGTATTTATATGAATGTAAGCTGTGTTCTTCCCAAACAAAACATTTCTCACGCATATCCCCAACAAGCGGAAACGGAAACCGAAACAAAAACCAAAACAGGGGCTGACAATGCAAAAGACTCTACAAATCAATGGTAACGATTGAAATCTTATATATATCTACCATATACTGTATACTGTATAGGAATCTAACTGTGTTTTTTTTTTTTGTTTTTTTTTTGAATATGTGTGGGTCCTCATGGGACCCATGCAGATATACAAAATATATAGTTATATATACGAGCATATTCGATATACATATGTACGATATACGATATTGAGAATCAAATTAGTGCAATGTAATTATCACGCCTATATCAAAGGCAAATCAAATTATGAATATACACCATATACACTACTTATATATAGGGCATTTCAGAACTGCTGTGGGAACAGTGTAACAAAAGCCACTTGATGGAGCGACACAAAAAAAAATTGGAATGCAATTAAAAGGAATAGATGAGAACAGTCTTACAGCACTGAAACGCACTTTACACCACACACGCAATATATGTACAAATAATAAATGAAATAAATCAAAATGAGATCTGAATCTAAACTATGATTGTAATAATCAAAACAACAATAAGTCGAAAGAACTCAAATAATAATAATTACAAGCATTCCATATGTATCTTGAGTGTCTATACTATGCATGTATCTGAATATCTGTACTCTAAAAGCTGCTCACCGAATCCGAAACCGAACAGAACCCAACCAAAATCAAACTAAAACGAAACTTCAAATTCGTTGTTGTTTATTTGAGTTGTATCTTATTTTTTATATAAATATATACATACATATATATGTATACACACCCAAATTATATATAGATATATAGGGATTATATATGTACATATATATATTACCATTACCTTCCTCCCTGTGTGATCTCTCTCTGTCTCTACACCGAGTATAAATGTTGTGGATTACTACTAAACCTATATTGTATCTTTATACCCCGTAAATTATGCGATAAACAGGAACAGAACCAGACAGAACTCAGACAACAATCTTTGTAAATGTACCTCTACTCAGCCCAGAGCCGGGTATAAATCATCTGCTTTTTATCTGATTTTATCTCAATTACAAGTGCATACCATATACCTATACATATACAGAACAGAACTATATACATATACCTATACGTATGTAGCAAGTACAAAATAAACCAAATGAATGAACACAAAGAAAATGTTTAAAATGAAATCAATAAATACCACATACATATACGATAAACAAAAAAAAATAGAACAACTTTCGGGGAGCGGAAATACGGAACATACGATAAATCCAGATCCATCAGCTGATGATCATCCCCAAGCCCAATCCCAAAACCAAACCCAATGGCAACAGAGGTAAACAATTTCTCACTATCAAACGATAAGGCAGGCCGGCGGACGGACCTTCCTCGGAACCAGTATATATTGGTCATACGTATATTGTATACTCTATACGAACATTGGTGCTTTGGCCATTCCTGGTGTGGTTGCCAATGGGCCAGCAACTTGATCGATAATCTTGGTCAACAACAAATGACGACGAGTGGGCATTGTGGCGGCATTGCATATGTACATATGTTTCCCCGGGGAGGCAGGGTGAACGAATGGAACGGATGATTAGGCAGGGGGAAACCGTCTTATCGCACACCTACTCGCGCGCGCTCTTCGAGTGTCCGATTTCGCCTTGCGCTTTGTTATTCCATTTCTGTTTACTTGCCTCCTCCTCATTCGCATTCGTTCTGATCCGACTAGCATCCAATTTGCTAGCATATGTACTAACTACCATATAAAAGGCACCCCTGCAGCTGCAATCAACCCATTCCGCAGAAGAGGCGACCCGTGATCACACCACAAAAAAACAGAATGTCGTCGCGTTTGGCCACTTTGCTGGGCCTCAGCCAGGGACCGGAGGATCAGCAGCACCTCCAAAAGGCCTTTGAGGAAGGCAGAAAAAGTGAGTCTCATATCTGCTATCCGCTTTCATTTCCCCTCTGGGTTGTTCGCAGTAGCAATAGATAAATATGGTGTGATCCCATATTCGATCCCGCCGATAGGCTAATCATTTCGGGTCTTATTGTGATTTATGAGTGAAGTGAATGTCGCACTTGAGATTGTGATAATGAAATATTTTCTTAAGCTTAAGGCAATGCAAATTTTTGCACTGTTCAGAATAAAAATTCCAAATTCCAATAAAAGGCACTAGAGTAGATCTTGAAACATACCTGAGTGATGAAACAGTTTTGGTCCACTTTGCATTCCGTATTCTTTCGAACTCCTTTAAAACTCTTCCACACTTCCGCAGAGCAAAAGATCACGCCAGACGCGAAATACTGTAAAGCTTTTCGTTCTTCTCTCTTAAATATCGTAAAGCTTATTTACGCACGCACGCACGCCCTCAAAGCTCGCACTTGCTCTCTCCCGCTCTCGTGACCTACAAGCTTTGCTGGCTGAGCTTTGCCTCATTGATCGCTCAGTCGAATAACTGTGCTTCTGGTGAGTGCTTGTGCCAAAGCACGCCATTGAGGGGCCGCTTCACCGGCTGGGCTGTCTCTTGGGAAGAGGGGCACATATTTGTGTGATCTTTGGACTGTTGTTGCAATTCTGTTTAATCCGTTCTCTTGTGCTTGTGCAGCTCCCACCAGGCAGACAACGAACCTGAAGATGTCGCCGTCGCCGATCAAGTACTACTACGACCTGATGTCGCAGCCCTCGCGGGCTTTGTTCATCATATTTCGCCTGAGCGGCATGCCCTTTGAGGACTGCGTGGTTGCCCTGAGGAATGGTGGGTGCTGTGCCCCTAATCATACGTAGCTCCAATCTAATCTTTGCACTTTGCCCCCCGCCATAGGAGAGCACTTGACCGATGACTTCAAGCGCGATATAAACCGCTTCCAGCGCGTGCCCTGCATCAACGACAATGGCAACAAGCTGGCCGAGAGCGTGGCCATACTGCGGTATCTCAGTGCCAAGGGCAAGATACCCGAGCATCTGTATCCCAAGTACTTTGTCGACCAGAGTCGCGTGGATGAGTTCCTCGAGTGGCACCACATCTCGCTGCGCCTCACCTGCGCCATGTACTTCCGCACCGTGTGGCTGGAGCCGCTGCTCACCGGCCGCACGCCCACGGAGGCCAAGATCGAGATGATGCGCATGCATATGGAGCGCAACCTGGACGTCGTCGAGGAGGTGTGGCTGGAGAGCAGCGACTTCCTGACGGGATCCAGCCTCTGCGTTGCAGATATATTTGCAGCCTGTGAGATTGAGCAGACACGTAAGTGGATTGGATTGAGTGCACTTTGAGTGTGAATTCTGACCTCTCTCTGACCTTAGGCATGGCTGATTACGATGTGAGGATCAAGTACCCTAAGATCCGGGCCTGGCTGAAGCGCGTGCGCCAGAGCTGCAATCCCCACTACGATGTCGCCCACAAATTTGTCTACCAGATCTCGGGAACGGGTCCACAGGCCAAGCTCTGAAGCCACACTATCCAGCATCCAGCATCCAGCATCACCATTGCCTGACTGATTGCCATTTTGTACATAGAAGATCATTTTCATATCTTTAGGATAGAGTTTCTTTAGCATTCCTTATGCTACAGCTTAAATTATGCAACAATTGTCTTGTTTCTGGTTTATTCTTGTACATTTATTCTTAATATTTGTTGTTTCTCTTTATTGTGTCGTCATTTATAGCATTATAGAAATCCACATTTATTTGTTGTTTGAAAAAAAATCATAATAAAAATACAATATACACATATACATATATAGTAGATGTACATACACATATATGTACACATATATAATATATATATATAATAGAAAATACAATTTTTAAAAAATAACTACCTAAACTCTAACAAAAAATTGGTTTTTATTTAATAATAATATTTATATAGCAACGTTGCGCGCTTGGGGTTTCATTTCTATCATTCGTTTCCTACTCTCCTTCTGTTTCGGTTTCCTCTTCCCTTTCGCTTTCTACATGTCCTTTCCGTGTCGGGTAACAAAACAAAATGCGTAAAATATATATATATATATATATATATATATATACCTACTATATATCAATACATATGCATGTATGTTATGGGGGAAAAGGAGGAATGAAATCATAACTTTAAAATGAAAATAATTTGTATATACAGTACAAAAAAAAAATTAAATAAAAATAATTTGTTAATTGGGGATTCATATAGTATACTATACAATGCGTGTGTGTGTTTGTGTGTGTGTGTGTGTGTGTGTGTTTATATGCATGTAATACTACACACAACTAAAAGCTAATGTTTTTAATTATTCATACTTTCTTTCTTTTCTTTTCATTATCAAAAAACAAACAAAAAAAAATAATCATATACAAACCACACAAAAAGTATTTCATAAAATATGTTTAAATTTATGCGAAAAACGTACAATACTCGCTTTACAACAAGTCGTCATTTACATAATTTTGAACCAAATATATTGTTATATTGTTGCTCAAATGTCGCCTGTCTGGGTAGCGGGGAAGGATCCCTGCCTGAGGTTAGAATATACAAAATATATCTGTATATGTATATGTATCTAAAATAAATCTGATCCATTTTGCACAATCAGCTCATGCGCAGCACCATCTGTGACTCTCGAAAAACTAAATCGAATACAATTTTCGCTAATCCCAAACAAAATTCTGTACAAAATCAACAAAAAAAAAAAACACAATTTTGACAAAATGTTAAAGCAAATAATTTAAGGCACCTAAAATGGGTTCTATGCACTGAATTCTCGTTTTTCTTTTTTTCTTTTCTTATAGCAGGTACACACACACATACATGCTGACGAAAAAAAAAAAACTAAACATACGAATGGGAGACAACGAGTGGGTGGGTGGGGCACAGGCACAGGCAGAGGCAGAGGCACAAAATCTTCAAAAATGAAAAAAAAAACGCCAAAGACTGACAGACAGACAGGCGACAAATAGCATATAATATACGTATTTTCCATGCATATATACATACATATGCATATGCACATAGGTATATATGTATAATAATGCGCGTGTTTGCGTGTGTGTGTGTGTGTGTGTGTGTGGGTGTATATGGTTAACAATTTGTTGCATTCGTTATGTATGATAACGTTACAAATATATATATGTATATATATATAGTGGTATATATATAATGTATACACTATAAGGTTATTTATGCGTATGGTTTTTACTGTACTGTGTATACGGTTTACAAAATAGTTATCTCTCAAGCTCCCGCCAACCACTTCCTCTCTCTCTCTCACTCTCTCTCACTTACGTGCTCTTTCGCTGTCTCTTTCGTTTTAACTCTAACTCTATCTCTATCTCTGTCTCTGTATATCCCTTCGTTCGTCGTTTCTTCCGTCCGTATATCCGTATATCCGCTCTCCGTTCTTTTTTGTCCCTCGGTTCCCATATAATGTATGTAGTATATTTATATTTTGTTTTGTGTGTGTGTTTGAGTGTGCGAATAAATATAATCGATTCTCCTGAAACATTTTGTTATCTAGGATTTCTTTTGTGTGGTTTTACATTCGTTTGGGGGTTGCGTCTCGCTCGTTCTTTCATTTAGAGTGCCCAACAGATCTAAGATCTAAATAGAAAGGACTCCTTTGCACTCTTGTCTACTTCCGGGAGTCGTTCTAGTCTCAGATTTCCTCGTGTATTCTGTGCGAACCAACTCCCACTCTCGCACACAACTCCCCATCGATCCTTGTATAGACATAGACACATATACATACAACATACATATATATATGCATACATATATATCTCTATATATATATATATATATAAACCATTATGTAATACTAATTTAAACTGTGTGTGTTTTGCTGCTGTTGCTGCTGCTGCTGTAAGCTCCAAATCGTCTCTTCCGTTCCTCTAATAGCGTCCGCGATTAATATTCTTGATGCGAATGCCCACCTCTAGGACTTGGTCTCCTCCTCCTCCTACAGCGGAGGCTGCCACCACATTGGTGGGGGTGCTGCTGTTGCTGCTGCTTCCAGATGATGGTGGGGCATTGGAGGCACCACCATTGCCTCCTCCTCCGCCTCCCCCACCTGCTGCATTGCCATTGCTGCCATCGCTTTGTGGCGAATTGTTGTTGTTGGCACTGCTGTTCGAGGAGCCGCCGTTGCCGCCGCTGCTGCTGTTGCTGGAAACAGAACCGCCGCCTGGCAATGCCACCACATTCGGATCGCTAGGCACACCGCTAGTACCCGTACCCGTAGCCGTTGCCGAGCCCGAAACCGATCCCAATGCTGTTCCCGAGCCGAGGCGACGCAGCACCGTGGTGGTGGTTGTCGTTGTGGTGGTTGTCTCGGCAGCGGCGGCACCATTACCGCCAACGCCGACAACCACAACGGATCCCTTGAGCAGCTGCTGCTGGTGATGGCGATTGTGGTGGTTGTAGTTGATGGCGGCCAGATCGTGACCGCCATGGGCACCGCCGCCATGGCCATGGCCGTGGCCATGTCCGTGTGTGGTGCAGCCCCCGTTGGCCGAGTAGTCGTGTGGCCCGCCAACGGTGTGGCGGCGCTTGATGGATCGATTCTGCTTGTTCTGGATCTGGCGCTTCTTGGTCAGATTCATGTCAGTCTTTTCGTCCTTGGTCAGGCCCGTGGCCAGGGCCGATGATGGTGACTGACAGCAGGCGGCCGTGACCGTGGCCACAGTCGCTGCCGTTCCGACCGGCGTGGAGCTGCTGCTGCTGTTCACGTGTCGGGTCGAGTAGTTGCGACAGTTGAAACTGGCGCTGCGAAAGAGCCGATGGTCTCGACGCTTCTTGTTGTAGCGCTCGAGAAAAAACGATGGCGATGGTCGCTCGCCCGCCAGCAGTAGCTTCTCCTTGGGATCGCTGGTCGTCGAGCCCTCCGAGTCGTCGTCCTCGGAGCCGGCCACACCACCGCCCCCACCACCAGCGCCATGATGTCGCTCGTACGCCTGCGATGTGCTGAATCTCAGGTGCATATTCTTGCCGCTGCCGGGGAGGTTCCCTCCTCCAGAATTGCGCTGTGATCCTCCTGCTCCGCCAGCACTGTTGGTGGGTGTACCAGCCACTGGGGTGGATCCCCCTCCAGTGCTGGTGCTGGTGGGCGTTGCAGCACCGCTGGCCGGTGCCGTGGCGCTACCCGGATGTATCTGTATCTGGTGTATGGGCACCGTGGCCGAGTGCTGCAGCTTGTGGGCTGCCTTCAGGAGGCTGGGCGGCAGGGGTGCCACTCCAGCCATGGCCATGGCCTGCTTCATGGTCGAGGGCTTCTCATCGGCGCCCAAAGTGTTGGTGGCCGTGCAGGAGCGGCTTAGGTGCAGCGAGTGGGGGGCATCCAGGGGGCAGAACTGATGGAAGAGACGCTCGGGCGACTCGTCCGCATAGGGAATGTTCTCGGAGTGCAGATGCAGCGGCTGGCCGAGCGTGTGCCGGCGATTCTTGGGGAATTCCGGCGACCCATTCTCGTCGTTCGACTCGGAGCCGCTCCGTAGATTCCGCAGCTTGCTGTCCAGCGTATCCGTAATGGTAGTCAGGGACATGGAACCTAAATGGAACAGTGAGAGAGATTCATCCACGAAGGAGCAGAAGAGACCACCTACCTGTGTCGCTCAGCCTGCTGCTGGAGTCGTCGTCGGTGAGGAGTATGGATATGTCCACGCTGCTCCGCTGCTGCTGATGCTGTTCCTTGCCATGTCCCAGGCCCAGGCCCAGACCCAGGCCGAGGCTGAAAGCCATACTGCCGGCCGAGTCGACGCTCGTCCCAGAGTCCTTTTCGTCCAGGCTCGCTTTGCGCGTCTGCGAGCGAGAGCCCCCGCCGAGGAACCCCACACCGCCGCCCATTGTGCTGCGCTTCTTGGTGCCTATCAAGGAGGCCGCGGATGATGCCTTGGACACTGCGGCCGCTTTTATGGTGGCGGCTGTTGTCGAGGAGCCCGAAGCGGACGAGCCCGAGGCCGAGGCCGAGGCCGCGGCGCCAGAGCTAAACTTTGTGCTGTGGCTGTGGCTCTGGCTGTAGCTCTGGCTGGTGGTGGAGGAGGAGGAGGCATTGGTGGTTGTCTTGCTGCTGCTGTGCAGCGTCGAGCTGCTGCTGGTGCTGCTGGCCGAGACCTTGGCGTAGTCCAGCGACTGAAAGTGAAGGGAGGGAGGAACGGGAGGTGCGGGCAGGATTAAAGCAAAGTCACAAATGCTCTGCACAGCCTTGCGCTGCTGTCGTCTTTGATGTATGGTTGTGTGGTTGGTGCAAGTTGTGGTGCTAGTGGTGATGGTGGAGTGGCTAGTGGTGGAGCTGCTTGGACAACCGCTGCTTACCAGAACACTCTCCCCCGAATACGTGTCCGAGTTGACGGCACTCCGCTTGCCATGGGTGCGCCGCCGCAGCTGTGGAATGAACCGGGAGGTGCGCGTCTCCCGCTCTGTGATCCTCTCGATCTTCGATAGATTGTGCAGCAGCATGTTCGTCTGATCCTCCTGCGTCTGATGCTGCGGCTGGGCAGTACTGGCCATGGCCGTGCCACCACTGACATCGGCCAGATCCGGCAGATTGCCGCCCTCAAAATAGTATTCGTACTGTAATCAACAAAAAATTTAAATTAAATAATAATTAACAATTTTTGGTAAAGAAAACCCCCTAAAACCCCCCTCCTACTGGAAATACATCAGAATCTGTCGAAATGATGAGCGCAAACGTGTGAAAGGAGTCCTTGGCGAACGCGCCTTGTTCTTTCCAACAACAGGGATACATCGTAATGGTATGAGAGGTGGGAAACTGTAGGCATCTCGAAAGAGCGGCTGGAACACCACACATGTCCCCAGGCCGTCGCACCAAACGCTCTCACAAATGATATCCGGAAAGGATAACCGGCAAATCTCTCGCCATCGTGTGTCATATGTCGTACAGTTTGTGGCGCGAAAGTATCGTAAGACATTCGGGAGAAGCGTTCGTATGCACACTGCAAGAAAATCTTCTCATGAATTACATTTGGCTATGAAATGCTTCCCAATGGGAGTATCTTTGAGATTTGTTTACATATAGGATATGTTTTGAGGCAGGGCAAAGGACAGTCAAGAAGGATATCCAGCATACAAACTTGTATGGAGGAGATAAATGGTAGCATTGCCCTTTGGCAGCTCTTTCGCTTCTCTGTACAAATATTCCAATTACAATTAAGAACTGCTTAAGTTTAAATGTTTTCCAGTCCCCCAAAGATCCCTCTGCCACAAGACACGTTGTGTGGTAATGCTTCACCTGTGTAACGAGCAGCTCAACGATGCGACACTGGTGCTTCATGTCCTTGACGGCCGTCTCGAGGGTGTCGTTGGGCGTGCGTATGATCGAGGGGCCAAAGATGATGGCCAGATTCTTGGGCTCCATGCGGTTCACCTCACAATTGTCGCTGACGCGGCACAGATGGCGTATCAGATGCTTCATCGTCTCGTACGGATGACGGGGCAGCGACTCGACTATCTCCCGCAGCAGAACGATCCGCTCCAGGCCGACCTTCTTGTCGGCCTCAATGAAGTTGATGTAGTAGCTGGCCGGCATTAGGGCGTCGGGCAGGCTCCGGATGAAGAGCTTCAGCAGACTGCTCACCACATTCACATCCTCCCATCGCACATCGATGGCACAGCTCTCGAACTGAAAGTCCTTGGTGTTCACCAGCTCCGAGAGCTCCGAAATGGCCGCCTTGTTGCCGGGTATCCGATAGATCCCGACCACACTCAGGCCCTTGGTCTCCACAATGTTGGTGCACACCTCCACGAGATGGGGGACATACGGATTCAGCTTGGACATCGGACAGCTGCGCAGTGGGACCCCAATGGAGCCACAGGTCTTCGCGGCGCAAGCCGAGGGCGAGGCCAGATCTGTATGGTGGTGGGACACACCGCCACTGCCACTGCCGCCGCCTCGACGGAACAGCAAATCCTTCCAGTTCTTGGACTTGGGCGACCCCAGATCCTTGTCGGGCAAATGCTTGTGGGAGGACGATTTGCGGGCCTTCATCACCGGCGATATAGAGTCACTGGTGGCGGCCACAATTGCTGCGGCAGCGGGCAAGGCAGCCACATGGTGGTGCTCCGCCATGCCCCCACCCGAATGTGAGCTCAACGGAGAGCTATCCACGCCGGCTCCACCAGTCACCACATCATCGAGATAGTGGCTGGAAGTGGCCACCGTTTTCTGTGGCTCCGCCAATTGTTTGCCCTGCTGCGGCTGCTCCTGTGGGAGGGGGGCGATACAAATGAGAATGGGGTATGAAATATAGGAAACACCAGCATCGCCTAGGATTCGGCGGTGCTCACATTGTCATCGTAGTTGAGGCTATCCTTCCACTGCAGCAGCCCAAAGAGTCGCTTCATCTCGTTGCTGTTCTTTGTCTTGAAGAGTATCTCCGTGTAGGGCCCGCCGGTGCTGCTGCTGCAGGAGGCGGCCATTGGTTCATTGGCGCTGCTGCTGCCCGATGAGGTCAACTTGTCGTGCACATCGTCCAGATTGAGCTCGTTCCCGAGACTCGCCAAATGGGCTCCGCTCGGCGATGGCTTTGACTGCATGCGTATCAAGTACTTTTTCTTGTCCAGCGACTCGTCGAAGAACTTAAAGTTTCTAATATCAAGTTCTATCACCTGCAACGACGTCAACGAGAGGGTTTAACAGATTTAGCATTTCACTTCGTTTTATTCCTTCTTACATTGTGCTCCGACTTGGCGTGACGCCCTGAGAAGATGCGCAGCAGATCGCCCTTGATCTCCAGCTTCACCTGACGCCACGAACGGTACTCGGACATGCGCTGAAACGGAAGAACAAAATTCAATCAATCAAATCAGTGGCGGATCTCTAGGGTTTGGCTTTTGGGGAGTTTCTAGTTTCAGCAAAGGATTGAGGCTATGCCTGGCGTACAAAAGAGTCTACGGAACAAATCCTGAGAGACTGTCAGGGCGTGTCAAGGGGGGGGGTCCAGAGAACTCAATCTATCGGTTTAAGGAGCGGAGCATAGGGGAAACGAGACCCCCTAAAGTGCTTCATTAACTTCATTAAAATCCTAGTTCCTGTTCCAAAGAAAGTCTCCTTTGAGAATCACTTTTAGGACAGCATTAACAAGCATCGAAGCTGTGGGAAAATGTGGGAATCTTGGCCCTGGCCTTACCTTGCCATTGATGCAGGACGATTTAATTTCGATTTCCGTCTCAAAGGCCTCCAGTTCGTTGGGCACATACTTGCCATTCAGCTCGGCGTCGACGTGGATGCTTAAATGAACGACAGATGAATCAGTGGAAATGTGTGCAAGAGGGCAAAGGAGACAGACACTCACCTGCTGCGCATATCGCTGCTCATGGAGGCCCGGCGACTACTGCCATGGGCCGACAGACGCACATCCTCGAGGCCGTTCGGTGTCTCGATAAACTCGTGGCCACCGCCTGTGCCCCCGATGACATCGTAGGTGGGATCGGGATGTTCCTCAACCATGGATTTGGTCTTTTGCGGCTCAACAACGGCCACAGGCGTCACAATGGGAATTGCAACTGGAATTGGTATCGAAACTGTGGCCACAGATGTTGCAGTTGCTGCTGCTGCCGCGGCTGTTGCTGTTGCACCGTCTCCAGCGGGCACTGCATCCGGATTGAATTCGGTCTCGTTATTGGTGGCCCTCAGATAGGAGATCCGGCGCATTGGCTTGCCCTCGTCAAAGGAGCTCGAGGACAGCGGCTTATAGCGTCGTATCACACCAGCACTCGAGCTGCCAGCACTTGCGGCAGCGGCTGCTGCTGCTGCTACAGAGCAACAGACAGGATTAGCTACTGCTGGGAATTGTAATATGTATTCAAAGTGCAGTGTAAAGACTTACCGCCACTGGCGCTGCTGCTCTCGGAAATGTCCGCCAAGGTGGCCCCTGCCTGCTGCTGCTGCTGCTGCTGCTGCTCCGTCATTGCGCTAAACTCTGCCACAGGAGGTAAAGGAGGGAGAAATTAATTTCAATTAACTCTGCGAAATGAAATTCCAAGAACTCACTGCTAACCACCAACGGTGGGGCGGCGGCATCAATGGTGGCATTGGCCAGCGTCGCCTTGTGCAGCTCCATGCGACTGTTCGTCTGTCCATCCACCGTGTTGGTGCTATGTTGCTGCTGCTGCTGCTGCTGATGCTGGTACTTGGCCAGCGGATGCTGCTGCAGCGACTCGTACAGGACACTCTGCTTTTTCACGGTCGAAGCTGCCGCCGCCGCCGCCGCCGCCGCCGCTGCCGCTGCACTCGTGGATGCCGATGCCGCCTCCAAGGCGCTGGTATTGATCGACAGAGGCTTGAAAGGATCGAAACCCATTGACATATGGGACACCAGTTTGCGTTCGAATCTGTGGGCAATGCAAAGAGTAGAAGAGTAGTAGAAGAGCGTTTCTCATACAGAAAAACTAAAGTGGAAGCTATATCTCATTTCAGAGCCTATTCTCAATCCATACGCACGCCTTTTGGGTGTCGTTTGGAAAGGTTTTTTCTTTCATAGCAACTGAATGTGCAGGAGAACGTAGTGACTGTAAGAGTCGCAAGAGAAAGAGTAAGAGGGAAAGTTGTTCCACATATTCTCTGGTCTAATGGTTACCCTTTCTTTCCTTCAGATTCCTCTTTTGGATTTCTTTGGTTTCGGTTACAAAACTCACACTTTATTGGTCACTCCGGTCTCTTGGAGCGTCTCAAAGTAGTCCAAGTCCTTGGAATACTTGGCATTGTTGTTGATCATCTGCACCTGTCGCTGCTGTTGCTGTTGCTGCTGTTGTTGTTGTTGTTGTTGTTGTGGGTGGTGGGGGTGCTGCTGCTGCTGCTGCTGCTGCTGCTGCTGCTGCTGATACTGGGGATGATGCTGAAGCTGGGTGATGTGATGATAATGTGTGGATGAGCTGGACGATGCCTGTATGGGCACCGTCGAGGAACGTTGCACTAGTTTTCCGCCTGCATAGTACATGTCGAAGTTGCCGGCGACTCCCTGCTGCTGTTGCTGCTGTTGTTGTTGTTGTTGTTGTTGCTGCTTCATGAGCACCTGATGGCGACCGCGTGGCGGTGGGGCGATGGGAGCACCTGCTGCCACTCCCGGAGGAGTGTGCGAGGGAAAGAAATGCTGCGGTTGCTGCTGCTGAGCTGGCGACGACTGTGCCTGATTCCCATTAGTCCCGGAGGCGGATGTGGAGGAGGAGCTGATGGTGGTGGGCACCGGCGACTTGAGGAACTCCTCCTTCTGCTTGATGGACTCCCTCAGCCGGATCATCAGGTCACTGTTATCGCTGCCCCCACCGTTGCCGCCGCTGCCGCTGCCGCTGCCGCCGCCGCCGCCACCGCCACCACCAGAGCCTGGGGCTGAGCCATGGCTCACATACAGGGCCTGATTTAGGGCGCTGCCGGACTTTGATTGGCGTGAAATGGGCGTGGGACTGGAGGAGGTGGCCGTGATCGAGCCTGTTCCTGATAATACTGTTAGATTCGGCGGTTGATTGGCACTGAAACACACAAGAGAAAACGGGGGAGAGAATGTGTAAGTCTTTGGTTAGAAACATATGCAGGATATCCAGGATAATGGTTCAAGAGCAATAGGATGTGTTCGTGTGTCTATCTGTGGGATTCACAATCACCTCCGCATGGGATCGGGCAATCTATAGATGCCACTCTGTCCAAAGCAGTGCAGCACAGCATTCAGCACATATCCGGCCACTAAAAACCAAAACAAACATATTTAGTGCTTACAACTAGCTAACCGTCCAACTATCTATATCTAGGGATAACTCTTCGGGGCATTTCGGGGCTTGAATAAAGCCCCCCGGCAAGTATCGTATCTCCCTGAAAGTCTGGTTGGTTTTCGAAGCCTTAGCCGCCTTAGTTTCATGGCAAATATTTGTCAATTGAATCAGCGATCCGCGACAGGAGATCCAAATTGGCAGTCAACCAAATAGAGTGTTCCCCCCTCCACCAAATGTCTCTGCTGTGGCACGTGCCATGCCAAAGGGGGGTTCGGCGGAGGGCGTGCTGTCGTCATACGATGGACGCATGCGCAATCCCCTCCGATCGATCCATCGATCGATCGATCGATCGTGCATGCTGGTCACGCTCTCTTCTGCTGATTGCCAAATTTTCGAATTCCGTTTTCATTCACACACACTTTAAGGCCATCAAGACCACCAATTGCCACGCCCCCTTATTAATAAATTTATAAATTTTTTTTTATCCACTTTTCTATGCACAACAACGAGTATTGTGCATTTGCACATTAATTCGACTTTGATTGGCTTCCGTTCGGACACCTCGACGGGGACTGATGCAACTGCTCGACCGATGGGGCATGTAGAACACTTCAAGGGCCTATTCCCGCGGCAGAATGCAACAGATTTCGCTCTGTTGGTGCTTCTGCCCCCAGAACAAAACAGGTGCCGGTGCTGGCTTGTGGCATGCATCCCAAACCCGAACCGAATACCAATACCAGGCGGCGGTACGTAATTGGTGAAAACATTTGTGAAAACTTTTTAGTTTTAGTTTCGCGACAGGCACCACCACACCACAAACTGCTGCTTCTGTGTCTGATTCTGGTTTAAAAGTTCTGCTTTCCTTCGATAAGACCCGTGCCGCCCCTCGCTTGCGAAGTTTTACTTTTGCAAGAACTTTGAAGGCAGAAGGCAGGGTACACCCATGGTTGATGGTTTTATGGATGGACTATGCAAATGTGCAACAATTTCCCTCCTTGTCTCTAATTCTTATGGACTCCAGAGGCATTGATTCAATGTGATTCCTTTTTAAAGATCTTGCGGATAGGTTTAATAAAACCCATATTGGTACATATATTTTTCTAGAGAGATACTATCTTTGTTAGGGAGATATTATGGAAGTAGTTTTATCATGAATCCAGGGCAAACCTGGTATTAAAAATATACGCAAAATATACCGAATCACATGGAAGTTTGTTATCGATCGATATCGATATTAATCTATACTCCATATTTCATGCATTACCCTTAAGGAATTAAGGATGTAAACATTCGAGGAAACATTGTTTTCCATTGCAGGAGTGGGGTTTTCTGTGCCTTTCCCTCCCCTCCCCTCCCCTAACTGGACGAATTTTTGGACCACATGCAACTTTGTTGGCCATGACCATGACAGACGCGACAGACGACAGGAGACAGGAGGCCCAAGGGACAGGCGAACCCGAAGCCCCAGGGGAATGATGGGGATGCACATCCCACAAGGGTCCTAGCTGCCGCTCTGCCCAGGTATTACACGCTTTTCCTATTGCGGCTCGTGTCCGAGCTAATGACCATGACCAGGACTCGCGGACCTGCAGTGCACTTTCACGCCCCACCCCCCACGGGCCCCCTCTCTCTCTCTCTCTCTCTCTCTCTGTCTGTCACTGTAGTAAATGACACATATCTTTCTCCCTCTCCCTCGCCTACACTTACAGTGGGGCCTGGCCCCTAATAAACTGTGCAAAAAGCCAAACAAATTAGATTTTGCCAGAAGCAGCAAAAATAATTCAATTTCATGCGACACAAGGATGCCAGCAGTGTGGCAGGACACACGGGGGGAAAGGGAACGAAAGAGAGAGAGAGAGAGGGGGCGAAACAAAGGCAGATTGAGAGCATAGAAACATTTGCGTGCGGTTATGCACTGGAAAGTGGCAAATTAGTTTAACTATTCCACAGGCACCCACGTCTCTTCTCAACGTACGCTGTCTCTCTCTCCCTTACCTGAGGACTATGCCGCACATCAGAGGTTGTGAAATGAAAGTTCAAAGTTCTATAAATAGTTTGCAGGTCGTCTTACGCGCATGTGTGTGTGTGTGTGTGTTTTCTAGGAAGGATATTTAATTCAATTTCGCTTCTAAAAGCCTTTCCCACACTGAAAAGCCAATGGAGGAAGGACGACAGACTACCGATGACGGTCAAGGTCAAAAGGTAATGAATAGAATTATCTCTGCGTCTCCCTCTCACTCTCACTCTCACTATTTCTGTTGGTGGTGGTGGTGCTGCTGCTATCTCCCCTATTTCTCCCATATTTGGATCATATTTCAAGTCGCAAAATAATAGAATAGCGCCATCTCTGTCCCCACTGCATACATTTCCATTGCCTAGCTTTCAGGGCAGCGGCAAAGAGAAGTGACAGCAGCAGAGGCAGTGACAGAATACCAGTAGGAAACGGCAGAGCCACCTACAACAGCAGGCAGGCAGGCAGTGCCACCTATAGCAGCAGGCAGAGAGGCATCGGCAGCAGGAGCACACAAGCAGCGGCCGAACAGCAGCAGCGGCAGAAGTAAAGCAACAGCAACAGCAGCAGCAGCGGCAGCGGAATGCAGGCATAAAGTGGATCAGGGCAGAGGACCGGCAGAGAGCAGAAGAGAGGGAAGCAACGACTGCCAACAGAAAGGTAGAGTGGGAGAAGTGCAGAGTGAGAGAGAGAGAGAGAGATAGAGTCAAGGGCAGAAGTGCAGCGGCAGCCAGTCGCTGGCAGATGCCGGTAGAGAATCAGTGGCAGAATAACAGAAGGCAGCGGCCAGAGAGAATCAGTGCCATGAAATATGAGTAGGCAGTGGGTGAGAGAGGAATAGAGCCAGAATAGGTGCCAGCACAGGTAGCGCAGGCAGAAAAGCAATGCAGGAATAGGAGTAGCTGCTGCCAGCGAATGCAAGCAGCGACAGAAGCAGCAGCAGCAGCAGCAGCAGCAGCAGCAGGTACTCGGTTCCAACGGTAAATTCATTGGATCAGGGTGCGCTGCGCGCTTTTTCTCCCTCCAACCCAGTCAATGCCTATGCGTGAGTGTTGGTGCGTGTGCATGCTTAAAATTATAATCTATGCACATGCTCCACTACACCCCCACAGGCGCACACCAAAGGGCACACAAATAGCACACAGATTAAGACCAAATTAAGCTAGATGTTCGTTCTGGTTTCTGTGTGGGACTCACAGAATATATATTTGAGGATTAATTGGATATTTGTGGACTTGCAGAGTCCTGCCAAGCAGGCAAAACATTCCAGGGAGAGAGGATCTGGCTTTTGTCCCACTTTGAAATCTCAGCAAAATAAGAAATCCGAAACTGTTATCGAAACAATGTTGGAGATAATATTTTGATGATATGCTGCATGCAAAAATAAACAAAGATCTCTCAAAAAATACTCAAGCGACTCAACGATTCGCAAACAATTCCATCTAGGCGACATTCAAGTCTGATTCCAGATGAATTTAAGCTATCGTCAACAAATTGTGGGTTTCTTTGGGCTTTGAAGACAACAAAATTGAGACTCAAGATAGATAATATGAATGGAATGTTGAATAAATTTTGGATGCAGGTTGAACCTTAAATAACTTTGGCAAGTCGTGGTACAAACAATAGAAACGGATTGACCTTAATGGGTCGGATGTCCCCTATGGGACCTATTCGTGTGACCACGACTGTACGAATGCGTATCCGTATGATCCACCGAAGCATTGACACAAGTGTGACTCTTACATGTACAATTCAATTCAATTCGCTTCGATTTGATTCCGCCCTCAACCACACCCACACTTCGCGTCCTTTTCCAGATTCTAACATTCTAGCATTTACCTTCCTTCCTTCCTTCCTTCCTTCCTTTCGCTCTCCAACACACACTCTCTATCTCGCTCTCTATTGTTGTTGTCTTATCGATGAAAGGCGGCGGCAAGCGGCGCGAATGAGCTGTATCTGTATCGTACACACACACACACATCCCGTTCTCTCTCACTCTCGCACTCACTCTCCCTCTCTGTGTATCTGTGTGTGTGTGTGGAATTTCGCGGTTTATTGCCCGATTGTTGTATCTCTCCCTCTCCCTCTCTCTCTGTGTGAGTGTGTTGCACACTGAACCTATCCATTGTTGGGCCTCTTGCGCTCATTGCTGTTGCTTTTGTCATCGGTTATTGTCTGATTTGCGTTTTGCCAACGATTGCGGACTCTCTTGCGACTCTTTGCAATTAACAAGTCATAAATAAAAAAATTGTTGACACATTTGATAAGCAACAAAAGGGCGCAAAGGTGGGTGGTGGGGGGGAACCTGTCAATAGCACAAACACACATGGCATGGCCCCAACCCCAACCGCCCTTCCGACACAATCAGATACTCGGTGTGAATGATTTTGATATCGATTTCGCTGCCGCTGTTGCCGCTATTGAAACTGCGACGTCTGCGTCAGCTGAAGAAGCAGCAGCGCTGCAGTGACAGCAATTCCTCAATTGGCCCATTGTCCTCCCCCCCTCCCTCTCCCTCTCCCTCTCTCTCCGGCTCTTCCTTTTGAAAGGGAAACTCAAACGAATCCCAGCTAGTGTGACCCCCTGTCCGTCCCGCGAAACTCTTCTCTATGAAAGGACGGAGCGGGAAGGAGAGAGCAAGATCAATTAACAGCTGGTTAACACAATCTCCCAGCAAAGCATTGAAAGATGGGTAAAAGCTGACATTGATCACTAGATGCATTCATTCTCACTCTCTCGATCAGCCCAATGA